AAGAAGAGAGGATTCCTTTTCTTCTGCTTCTCCTTGACTTTATCCACAAAAAAACATTTGAAATTCGGATGGGTTCCCATAGACAACGGAGCCAGTTTACGCTGGAGCTAACAAAATACTGAAGAAAACAGTTTATCTTTAAATTGACTGAAGCTGATTGTGTTTGACTTTTTGTAAACTCTGAGCAGGTGATAAGATTTATTTATTACAGCGCCATCCACAGCTCCGGTGGAGTTTCCCTTTAACATTAGTGTAAAAAAAATCAGTACCAGTTCCTGATGTCGAAGGTTTTTCCACACCATGTTTTTAAATCATTGGCTGTTTTCAAACCTGTCGCAGCTGTTTTAAAAAAATGACAAACTTTTCTCACTTCCTGCTTGACTTGTCACATGATCACATGTCTGCACCTTTCAGTTTAACAACAAGGGGTATTTGGATTTGTGGCTTGGGCAGTTTGTCATGTTGCTAAGAGGAGGTGCATGTGCCAACTTCCTGTCTACAGTAAAGCCCCCACCGTGGACATTGAAAAAAAGAGAAGTAAAAAAACCTTAACAAAGATACTACCTTAACAAACATACTACCTTAAACATACTACAAAAGTATTCCTGATTGAATTAAAGGCTTGAATTGAACCAATCGCCTTTACTCAGACACGTCTGACAGGAAAAAAAAACAAAACTGGATCTGGATTATATTTTGCTTGTTTAAAGGCATCAGACTTTGGAAGTTTTATGGTTGAACAATTATGTTTCTGGCCCAGAACAGACACCGCCCTACAATGGACACGCTGCTCAACAACTAGAGGCCAAGACAGGTACAGCACAGTGGATGAGTCACTTCTGGCCTTGAAAGGAAGTGACATCAGTCAAATCCAACAGTCCTGAGTAACGGATTTGGTAAGCAATTAAGGCACATTGTGAAAAAACAGGAAGAATGTAAATTGACTTTGAACCACAGCAAAAAGTCAGAGGAAGAAACAAGCGTCTGTAAGAGATGTGAATGGAAAAAAAAGTGTTGATATCTGTGTCTGTAAAAAGTAAACACCAACAAATATGTTGTATGCTCTCACACTGACACAAGTCATGTGATGACCAATGTTAACGACAGAGACGTATGCTAAAAAAAAAAAAAAACAAAAAAAACAAAACTGGGTTCCACTTGAAATGGAAACTACGAAGAGACTCTTAGGACAAAACACCAGCTTAGTGTACAAAGAGAAATGTGTTTTTGTTTCCTGAAGAAACTTGAGTAGAGGTGCGACATTTACTTTTTGGACAGAAAAATAAAGGAAAAAATTTAAGGATCGTACACATTTTAGGAAGTTTCGGGATTTTCTTGTAAGCACCGTGGCCTTCTGTAGTGACGAAAAAAGCTCTCACTTCTCTGCTGCCTCTCAATGATTCAACATTTCAGGAAACCACCTTCCCTGCTAGAATTAAGAAAATAATGAAAAAATTCTTATTGCAGAAAAACAAATATTAGTTAATCAGTAACAAATTCTTAGATTAATATTCACATCAGGGTGAAACTCAGAGAGAAAAAGTTCCTTTAGGACTTAAGAATGGATCGGTAAGTCTGGAGAACACATCTTTCCTCAGTCGCTGCTGTCGTCGTCGTCATCATCGTCGTCCGTCAGGTTGTTCCCAAACTTTAAGCCTGGTCGACCAATGGAGTCGGAGCGGGGCCCCGATGTCAGCTGAATGTAGCAGTACTCACAGACTCTGACGGGTTTGGAAGACTGGCTGGGCAGGAGGTACTTCTTCTCTGAACATGGCCCGCAAACCACGTAGCCACACTTCCTACAATGATGGCGGCGGCTGACGGGCGTAAACTTGACTTTCTGGCAGCGCATGCACACAGTGGCCTCGGAATCAGGGACCCAGACGGCAGCGTGCTCGCCGCTGGGAGATTTTCCACTTTTTTGCAGCAGGTCTCCTACACACTTCCCAATGTGGTTCATCCACTCAGACTTCTCGGTGGCCGTGGCGGCGTAGACGGCAAAAGACTTAGTGGGTGTCTTAATGAGCCAACCGTTGCGTAGGTCACCCTCGTCAGGCACCGTGTCGATGGTGACACTCTCCAGTGGGATGATGTGCTGCTTGTTGTACTTCTTCTTCTGAATGACGATGTTCCCGTAAACCAAGATGTCATTGAAGAGGAAGAACTGTCGCGCTTTGGGCTTTTTGCGACAGAGTTTAGTGAGGACGCCCTCTCCGATCAGGACTCGGCCAGGAATGGCCAATGGCTGACCCGCAGCACCAAAGCAGCCTTCCACCACAGCGATCCGCTTGGAGTTAGCCTCACTGTTAGCCAGCCGGTCCACCATTTCAGCTGTGGTCTGAAGAGAAAAAGAAAGGCAGAGTTGAGAAACAAACTAGTGACATGTCTGAATTCAGGCTCCGAGATGAAAACATTAGACTTTAGTGGAAATAAATATATGTTAAAAACCTGTTAAACCTGATAAGGGTGGACATCTCTGGGTACCTCGCGATTTGATTTAAATATGATTATGAATTTTAAAAAAGGCTGTACAAAAGGCTGTACAAATTGATAAATCAGCAATAACTTTTATGTCATCATGTGTCCACCAGGGGGTGCAAACAGCTAAGGCAGTTGTACTTTTTCCGCTTTCCTTCCCTGTGACATCAGTGGTCAGCTGATCTGACAGACAACGTCTATTTAAATAATTATTATCTCCCTGCTGGGCCTGAAATGTTTGGTTAATTTAAATTAAATGACGTGTAAAAAAAATGTAATAATACAAACTATTTAGATATTTCCTATAAACCATCTTTCCCACTTTAGCAGACGAGTTTACGCCCACCTGTAGCACACATTCAGATTAACAGCATCGGTTATGGTTAATCCAATTACTGTGTTTAACCAGAGAAGGGAACTGCACAGACTTCGTTAATCCACGGGATTAGACGCCCTATACAGGAAGTCAAAACCTGAGCCTTTGCTTTAGTGTATTCGCTACTCTGAGACGAAGAACCCAAACAGTTCTTTCACAGCGTGTACAGAACCCATAATACAACGTGTAAAAGTGCAAAACACGCAGAAATTGTGGAGTCAATGGTGAAACATGTCTGACTGGTGTTGTCAACATGTTAAAATTTGAATCCAATGAACATTTTGGGTTGATGATTGAAAGAAGTGAACTTTACTCTGATGAGAGTCAGACGCCTCAGTGCCTCATTGTAGTAGATTTGTAACTTTGAAGTGTGTTTGTAGAAAACCTTCGAATCTTTAAATAATAAATAAAATAATAAATAAAAGCCGAGAGCTTCTCACACGCCGCTGAGAGCATGAAGACAAAATGAGTGAGACTCCTGAAAAGTCAAGTAAATTTCCTAGCTATATCCCAAGTTCAAAAGCAAAAAAAAGACAAGACAAATACCAACAATAGGAGCATAAAATATTGGATGTATATTTGTTAGTAATGAAACATTTAACGTTGTTTGTCACTCACAAATAGTTACTAAAACACTTACCATAGTTTATATGTTTCCTTCCTCACTACCAGCTACAGCAAAACGTTGTAAGTCAAATTGTTCTTTAACAACCAGTAGTTTATAACTTATATTATATACTTATAATATTTTAGGTGTTGAGTTTGTCCGATATGACTAATTTCTTGTGTATTTGAGTCTTTTTAAATGTTACGTTTTTAGGAAAAGTTTACTGTGGTGCGTTTGAGTGATTATCCTGGCGTTGCCTTTAGCCTGTTCGCTTCCTATCGTTTTTGGTATCGTTTTTTTTTTACTCGAACCAAATTGCTAGTAGTCACCATCACTACATTGGTGGTCGTGTGTTTGTGGACTCTTACCGACAGGTTTTTACTTATTTTTAATTAAAGTTAAAAGTTTTAAAGACAGTTTCTACAGCTACCAGCTGTTAGCGTGTAGGAGCTAATCCGTCTAGTCTTAAATTTAGAACCGGAAACGTGGAGAAAAAACACTCACAGACCTGAGATGGTGTTTCGCTGAAATTCTGAGACGGATTATAATTCACAAAGTCGCAGAAAAAGGCGCCTTTGGCTTTAAACTGCACAAAGTTTAAAGTCCGCTGCGTAAAATCCGTAAAAATACTGCTGCGATAAACAACATGGCGCCTTGCTACCTTCACTGCTCCATTGTACTGTAGGAAATCCAAGCGTCGACTTCATAACTACGGCTAAAGTTTACCGACAACCTCCGCCGACTGCAAATTTGAAATGAACAAGGAAGCACGCCCGATATCTACTATCTATCTACTTCTACTACGACTCTTCTAATAACAATCCTCCTGATTCGGTGAACCACAGGGTTTTCCACTAAAGCCCAATAAACAATACAACCGTCAATAACACTCCCAAATTATATATATATACTTTATTATTATTTTTATTTTTACCAAAACAGGACATAATTTTTACAACCAGCCACAGCAGTTTGTAGTTTATTTTAATAAGCTTTCAATATATAAAATATCCACTTGCATAAATGTATTCTAACTTCTGTACAGACCACATTGGTCTGTAGACATGTACTACACACCAGCATCCTCTGGTCCGTTCTACAAAAAACTATTGGACAGAAAATGTACTACAGTCAACACACCAGTCATTCATTATTTTACATGCTGCTCCTTAACCACCACGTTTTGTTCCTGGGTGACAGCATATTGTGTGACAACCAATCATCACAGTCCACGTAAATCAGTGAAGACAAACAGATTCAAAATAAAACGTTTAACAATTTGCCCTTTCCTTCTTCTCATCTTTCTCTTATTCTTCTACTGTTGACCCGGAATCACCAGCTCTCCCTGTTGTCGGACGATACTGCAGTGACTCGGAATACAAGTGAAATCACTTCCTTCTTTCACTTTCCTCCTTCAAAGCATTCAAGCACTCAATTTTGCAAATGTAAGGAGTAATTCAAATTACATCATTTGACCTGAGGTGACTCCAGAGTTTGTTTTATCTCATTTCAGAATATTTTTGCTTTGAAAACTTAAAATGTTGTTAGAATATTTGAATGGCTTTTCATTGTTTTATGTTATCCGTTTCTTTGATGGTGATGATATATAAATAGGTAATAAATACTGATACCATTTTAATTATTAGTGTGAAAAAAAGAATAAAAATAAGGAAAATATTCAAAAAAAAATCATATTAAAAATGCGAAGTTGTTGCAGAATAAGGCTCCACCTCTTATTTTTTTGGATGGTACATCTAGATCCACCCACCATTTACTTCAGTGAATTCACAAATAAATGACTATATCTGGATCATCCCATAAAAACCTGGAGAAAGTGAACAATGACAAGATGTCACTCACATCTTCAGACTCTGACAGGTGAATTCAGCTGTCAATCACAAAACACATTTACCCTCCCACTGTATTTCCATCATTTCTCCTTCCCTCCAAATGTTGTTTGGACTCTGAAGACAGACCAGAGGCCCTTCAGTAAAGTGTTGACTGACAATAAAACTTCTGTGACTGTCAGTAGCTCTTCTTCCAGGAGCGGAGGTACAGCTGCAGAGGAATGAGAGGGTTTCTCTTCTGAAGACTGGGGTGAAAAACATCAAAATCAGCCTTCCTGACTCTCTGGAGATAGTCCTCCAACCCCACCTGCAAAGGCACAGACAAATGTTTGGTTTCAGTTCATCCTGGGTGTGGCATCTAACTACAGTATATATATATATATACACTCAGCTGCCTGGTGCTTATTTCCATTCTAAGTCTCACTAACCTTGGATTTATTTTAGCATTGATTTTTTGGAACCATCAGATTAACACTCAGATGTTTCTAACACAAGAAGTTACACAGACCTAGATAAAAGTCCGGACTTCACTGCTGTATTGGTACTTAACCATGAAAGCAGCACAGATTTGTCTGCTCATATTTACTGTCAATGTGTCACTGCAGTTTCTGCTGTTTTTCACTGAATGGTTTAGCACATCAAGTAATGATTTAATTCAATTGTCAACTCACCGTCTGCAGAAACGCTGGAGCAGCAGCTGCAGGAACGTTGTTGCTGAAGGATCGAGCCTAACAAAGAAAACACAAAACTGAAAGAATGTTTCCATAATCTCATCGAAGACAAGTGATATCAGCAATTCAGATTTGCTCTGAGTCGTTTTTACATATTTGTGTTTAAAAGTGATCGACTCTCAGCGTTTGTCACAACAGCTGTAGTACCACAGCGACACCTAGTGGTCACAGTAAGAGATACAGGTTCCGTAAAAATACTGTTGATGTTGAAGGTTGCTCAACACAAGGTCAGAGGGAGTGTAAGGATTGGATGAGTCTTCTCTGCTGTGGCCTGTGTTCTTCATAGCAGAGATCAGCACATTGGGACTGATGTTTCAGGTATGTTCATCTGGGAGCCCCCCCCCCCAACATTTAGTTTGATGTACGTACATGTTGTAAGTGCACGTGAGCCTGGCTGGCGATGTCATACACAACGTTTCGTACGTTCTGCTCTCGTCTGCAGCGGATGAAATCTTCCTGTGACGCTGTGTGCTGCAAAAACAGAAGCACAAAATGCTGCTGAGCTGAGGACATTCTGAGGAGATTCTCTCCTTTGTTTCAGCTTCAGGCAGCAGCCAACACTGACCTTTAGGCAGATATCCATGGGCAGGTAGACCCGTCGGCGGCTGCTGTGGTACGGTGTTGCTCGGAGACACGTGACAACCCCCTGGGCTTTACCGATGTGACTGGCTGCATGGTCAGCGTGTACGTTTTTTACACCTGCAAATAAACACAAGAAACTTTGTGTGGCATCTGTGACTCAGCTGTGACTGTCATTCCAGCCGTGTCATCACTAACCTAATGTCTCCAGCAGCAAATAGAGTAAAGATGACTGTGTGTTTTCAGAATAACTCTCCAGTTCCTGTATGTTCCTGAAGGCTCGGTCGTCCAGATCCTTTTCCTGCTCAAACACAGACACGGCACTAAAATCATCCTCTTTTATTTTAAATCACCAACGTCAGCTTTAATTATGGCTGTGAAAAGATTTCTGTGTAACTCACTCTTTCTGTGATCATCCTCAAAAACCACCGCTTCGTCAGCTGATGTTTCTTCACCGCCTGAAAAACATCAATAAGGTTTCTGTCTGGTGTTGGACAATCATCAACTGTTGGTCTACCTGGCTTTATTTCCTACTATTCTTTTCTTAATTTATTCAGACATTTTCCATAGGCCTGGGTTATTCTAAGCCATGGAATGTTGTGACCTAGTCACGGGATCAAACCTTAGAATCTAAGGAACATTCTAGACCATTAGAGATACAAAAATATATTTTTTTATCCCGGGCTCTTACCCTCCACAGCTCCACTGTGACCGGCTGCTGCGGAGCCTGGTCTCTGTAGATTTCTTCAATCGCCGTCTTCCAAAACTCCATCCGCATCAGACCAATGGTCTTCTGGGAAACCATGTCCTTAACCTGGAGAACAAAAAAAGCAAAACCTCTTGGACGGTTGATTTAAACAGAAGGTTGATGGCAAAACATATTTCACGCAGAGTGGAAGAGTGATGAGTGGAATACCTGCCTGAGCCAGCTCCACGTTAAAGGCTCTCAGAGCCAGAGAGGTGCGTCGCGCCTCCTCTGGGAGCAGGAGGGATGACAGGAAGCCCTCGTAGTCTCTGGACCTGGGGGGAATTACATCGTACAGTTTTGATGATACATTTCAACTAAATCATCTCCCTTGAAAGTGTGTTGACTGGAATCCGTCTTCAGACGGTTGTATTGGCTCAAATCTTATTCAGGCACAACTTCCTGTTTAATTTGACTTTCCCGACAAAGAGAAAAAATTCAGCGCAGGGGGCGCTCGCAGCCTACTTAGCACTTAATAAACTAAATGGTTAGATTATTAATCTGAAGTATAGGTATAGATATTTGAAGTGAACGTGGTTTTCTGACCTGACCAGCTGCAGACAGTAGATGTCGCTCTGAAGCGATTTCGTGTTTGAACTGCTAACCGGTCGCTGGCTCCGGACTTCGCCCGCACTAAGTGAACAAAGTCCGGAATCAGTGTTCAAGAAGACCCTCCGGTGGACGGATGTCAGACTGTGCAGAGACCGGTACCTGCAAATGTTTTTCTTAAGGAATCTTAGTCTGACACTAACGCCCGACGCCATCTTTTCTCTGTCACAGTGAAAACTCTCCGCCTAGAACCAGATATGGAGCCGAACCTTAGTTCCGGTTTTCATTTCCAAGGTCCAAATCAGTTTTGACAGACTAATAATTATACACTATATTATACACTACGGAATTATATAATTACATACAAATTATACTCTAACGACTTTTTTCAATTGTTAGTTTAAGCATTTCCTTTTGTGTAATTTTATGACAAGTCATAACTGTTGATCATTCACAAGTTAAGTGTTAGCATTTCACAAAATGTTTTATTTTTCGCATCAGGATTTTCTTTTTTTCTTCTTGAAAACAGGATTTTATGGCATTACATATATTTTGAAGTAAAAACGTTTTTTCTTGGAGTCAGACTTAAAGTCTTTTCTCCTTTTTTATTTTAAAACATAAAAACATTTAAGTCAAGTTACACATTTGCTCCCCACCAGGGGGAGCAACGCCTTCACAATTGTTCTGGCTCTGGACCCGAGGGTATGACCCAGTCCCACACATGGACAGATCCATCTGAGGCTGCTGACAGTAGTGTTTGTGGACTGCTGGGATGCCAAATGTGGGAGGTCACCAAAGGAGGAACATCTCTATCAGACAGTGTAGATGAAACCGCATGACCACAGTGCTGAAACAGTGGTTGAACTTCCTGTAGCTCGGTCCTCCAATGTGACGTGTCATAGATCTGAACTTCTCCACTGAAACCTGTAGGAATTGGGAATTTTTACTTGTTTGAAGTCAAACAAATCTTTAGTCAGTTTTTTTCCTAAGATGGCCACTTTTCACTTCATTGTTAATCTTTCATAGTGAGCAGGATAGTCTTATTAAAGTCACATTATGTTGTTTCTGCAACAACCATTTTAAGACTTTGTGAGAGTCAGAATTAATGATTGTAAATCACAGACCCGAGTCCATACAGGATGTGTTATTTTGCTACAAATGTCCATTCAATGTTGAGTCACAAACTGACCTGACACAGAAAAGCAATCTTTTAGTTCAGGAGCCCACCACAGCATCACATGGTCCAGGTTGCACTGATGGGTCTGAAGGTTCAACTGAGCTCGGCTCACAACGTTCCTTGGATTTTTCTGGTTTCTCAGGTCTGACACCACAGCTTCCCCAGTGGCAGACAGGCTAATGATCCTGCAGCTGGACAGGTCTGGGCCCACAGAGGCATTGGTCCACCACAGGTTACACCGGTCTAAAGATTCTGGAGGAGATGACAGTCGACAAGATGCAGACATCCGACTGTCTGCAATGTAAACATCCCCGTTGCAGCAGCTTGCAAGAAAAACACGGTCATTCAGGAACTGTAGGGAACTCAGTGGTTCTGCTGAGTCACTCTCTGTTGAGACACAATCCAGGAGTTTTGGTCATTAAAAAGTTTTACATCATTCAGGCGACACTGATTCATCACAATAAAAGCAATACTGTTCCAGTGAAAGAAAACAGAAAAAGAAACAGCTGCAGACTTACCATTTTTGTACAGTGTAGTTCCAGTGTTTAGTTCCGTCAGATGAATATCACAGATCGTGGATCCATGAAGAATTTGAGGTGGATGAGTGGGCGTAGTTGCCATTCTCACCCCTCCCTCGGAGACCTGGCTTTTCCCTTTAATGCTCCCTGTTCTCCTAATGATGTCTGACATCATCAACAAAGGACACAGACAACACGTTTAGAAAAAAAGTGATAACGTTCTTTCTTTCTTCTACTTTAAAAAAAAGAGAAAAAAAAGAGCAGATTTCCTGTGACAAAAGTTTGTGTTTGACTAATGCTTGTTGAAGCTCACCACTCTCATCTCCTCCCAAGTCCCACACCTGGAGGTCGGAGGTCAACTCATCACCGGTAACAATACATCTAAAATAAATAAAATAAAAACAAAATCCTTTAGGAAGATATTGTGAAATTGCGAGAACTCTTCATTTCAGATCAGTTTATTTAAGGTCAAAAACTCTCACCGTGTTCCTGGAACATGTTGAAGGCAGCTAACTATTCTGTCAGTGAAAGCACCATGAAGAACAGTGAAGTCTCGCCCTGCACACAGACTCTGGACTCATGGTTACAGCAGAAGTGTCATTTGTGAGTTAAACCTCGAGACCAAATCATCAGTAAAAAAATATGTCCTCACCTTATTTTCATCGGCAAAGAGTTTGGGAGGCAAACAAAGCTCTAGGATTTCACTTTTCGATGATCCACTTCCTGCTGTGCATACGGCTGTAAACACATTTTAAAAAGTCCTGCTGCCATCAAGCTTTTCCTTAAAAGAACAATGACTTTTAAATACTTGTTGTACATGAAGGCCCATATATATATATGAAAACTATATGAAAATACAATAACTTGCACTGTATCAAAGAAATACATTTGCTCACTCTTCTGTGAAGTCCAATCCATGACATTTATGGGATGTTCCATCTGAAACACGTGAAGATCTTTGTAGCTGCAAATGAGGACAGACGAGAGAAGATAAGGTCATTCCAAAGCACTTCATCAAAATAATAAAGGTCGTAGAACCAGAGCAGAACTACATAGCATAGCAGAACATTATTAGAACTTAAATAGAACTTCAGCGCTCTGACTAAGTACTATTATGATTGCAAAAAACTATCTGCAGAGCAATGAAGTTAAAAATGGCTATTTGTTTTAATTATACCTTTCGTCAGAAATCTTCATTTCCGCTATTTATATCCGTGTTATATATTTATGAGGAAAAAATATTGAAATAAATAAAACAGTCACAAGAACAAAAATAATAATAACCGGAAGTAGTGGCGCTAGCTCTTTGCTAGCTCAGTAACCTTAAATCGCTTGTTTAAATTTAAAATGTCACGGTAGAGACTGTTACAACTTGACGACCAACTACAACAAAGGGGAAAATAGAATATCTATAACCTCTTCAGAGAATCAATGATCCAATTATCGAAATCTTCTTCAGACTCCGACATTTTTAACAGCGAAGTGATGCGAGGCTAAGCTATTCCGCTCCCCTCCTCTGATTGGCTAAGACCGGTTCGGTTCCTGACTGCGATATAGTGGTTCCAGTTAAAACAGCAGCCATGCGTTATTGGCTATCACCATGAAAATAAACATTGCCACATTCTTATTAGAGAAGAGCAGGGCCAATAACAACTCTGAACCTGTCAATCACAGGAGGGTTCAGACAATCCACTTCAGTATAGTTTCTTCTCTCCATTTGTTTCACTCCAGTATTCCTTTGCTGCCTCATGATAATGACATTACATAAACACATTACTGTATCATTTGTTAACATTTATTGCAGAAATTAGTACACTTAATCATATGAACCCATTAAACTCTTACACTTTTGCATTCTTACTTCAATTGTATATTCATATATATATATACATAATCCTTATCAACAGTATGTACAGTGGATTTTCATTCACAACTTTAATTTCTTGTTTATTTATCAAATATATATATTCTTTTACATTTTCCTTATTAGCTTAAGTCACGTAATCAAAGGAAACAACACATTGAAACTGAAATTTTGAAGTTTGAATGTTTTTCACAGATAGGTTTCTCCAATATAAACAGATCCTCTGCTTCGTTCACTTAAGGTCCTACGAGCAACCTTTTCTCCACAGCACATTTACTTTCACTGTCAAAAATCTTTAGAGTTTTTCCTGATGAACAAGCAGAGGTGAATACTTTCAAGGTGCCCTAAAGCCAAGAAACAGATCCACTTCCATCTGTGGAAGGTGCAGCACCTTGACCTCAGTTCAGATGTCTTCCACAAATCCACTTCAGCTGAGTCAGACCACTGAGGTCCATCAGCTCAGAGCAGCAGAACCAGCTACACTGACAGGCATAGGCTCGGAAACCTCTCCTCTTCTTCAGCTTGGTTTGGAGCTTCTGATGATCTGGCATATGGTTCCTAAGATGGGAAAGGAAGTAGGAGAAAGGGAAACTTCACAGTACAAAACCAGAACTTTTTCCAAATGCAAGTGATTGATGTAAATACTTGAATTACATTTGTACCTCAAATCTGAGTTGTTGGGGTTTTTTTAACCAGTGCAGGAGAATATCTTTAAACTCCAGTGTCACAGTGTCCACTCACCTAAAAAAGAGGTAGTCACAGGATGTGTCCCATTCATTGTGGTCAAACATCAGAACCCTGAAGTCACAGGAGAGACAGCGAAGTTGGTCACAAGACCTGCAGTCACCAAGATCAGAGACTTACTTTACAATCAGTAGATGACAACAAAGTTGTGAATCATGAGTATTCATTTTAAGTTTAAAAATCACATCTTGTAAAAACCAAGTTCTGTTTTCCACCTTTCAGATGTGGAGGTTCCAATACCAACGGGGTAAGAACTCCCTCCGATGAAGACAGGACAGCATCTGGACACAAGAAGATCTGGATGAAACCAGACTAAGACTTTTCTCTTTTGCTGCAAAACATTTTCAACAGTGTAATATGTTTGAAGAGGATGTCCTTCTGAAACCATTTACAGACCTTCTGCCTCCAGACTGAGGGCAGAACTTCTGCTCGGCTCCGGAATCTTTGCAAGGAAACTGTTGAAAAATCACAACTGATATTAGACAGAAAAAACTATAGTGAGAGGAACTGAAAGAGGAACCAGAGGACAAGAAGACAAAATGTGTCTGAAAACCACAGAAGAAGATTGAGATGGTGGAGATGATGGCAAATCTTTAGCACAGTCCGCATGTTACTGTTGTCTCCTGACCTTCAGTTTAGAAACATCTTGAGGTTTCTCATCCTCCAGCAGTTCCTTTAGCAAGTTGTCCACTTCCTCAGAGAAAAGGTTTGTGGTCTCAGATGTTCTGGCTCTGAATTATGGGGAAATGTGATTTAGTCAGGTGAGCAGTCTTACATTCATTTATCAATTTGAGCTTAAAGTGATACAGATATGCTGCCTCCTGTGGTCACTTTGTCCCTGAACTGATATTTCATAAAACTCTTTAACTAATTGATAAATTATTAAATGATCGATTTATATAGATCGATGATAAAATACAAATATTCTAAAGAGAAAAACAGAAAGTCAAAAAGTTACCATAATTCTAATTATCATAGCACTGGCATGATTTAACAAGGTTCTACCCATAACATCTTTACCGTGGTGCTAACAACATTAGCTTTCTTTACCTGTGCAGCCTCCTGCTTCCGGTGTCGGATGTGTCCGTAATACTAACATCCCGACAGAACTTTCGTTCCACTTCGTCAAGTAGTTCGTCGAGCTCATTCTCAGGGTCCATTAGATGCGGTACCCCTCTGCCTGTTCTGAGCTTCTGATAGCTAACAGACAGCAGACAGCTTTAGCTTAGGCATAAAAGCAGGAGCACACAGCGTCGAAGTTGCTAAGGAACCGTATCAAGGCGGAAATGACGTTTCCCAGCTTTTCTGAATAAAACAAAGGTTCTTTCTAAAGGCTGTCGCCGACTTTATGAGCAGGTTTTATGTTGTAGTAATATTTAACTGAAACTATGGTGATTAAATAATGTTTTTTTTCTTTTAGTTTGAAATACGGCTGTTTAAAGGTTAACATTTTTAATTTGATTGATCACGCTGTAACTGCAATAATCGCGATTATTCATGATTATTTTGAAAACAATTATTATTTTTCGAGATAAATCAAACTTTAGAAATATGGCAAAACCACCTAGAATTTATTTTTTTAATTGTAAATACAAGTAAACAAAAACAGCTGTATGGACATGGTCAAGTCACACATACTACTACTTCATAGTTGATTTCTGTTAAAGTACACCTGTCCTTTATTAACACTTAACTGTCTTGTCGGAACCTGATGGCAGCACAGATACAAACCTAGGTGAACTGTAAGTAGTTAAAATCCAGTCAATATAAAAAAAATATATATTTCCTGAAGTTAGTGAAGTTCAGATTCTTTAAAAACATTTTGAAAAACAGAAAAAAGAGCACAAAAAAACTGAACCTGAGAGACATTAAAAAAAGAACACTTTACCAAATGTAGCAAAATAGGTAGAAAAAAACAATCAAAACATCAAAACACTTCTCCAGCTAAACAAATAAATACAACACTTTAAAAAAGCAAAGAATTAAATTTTAAAAAATGAAAAAGACATGACTACAGAAAGTACAGAGAATTACAAAAACTATTTCTGGAAACTTAAAAAAAAAACATGGCTTAGTGCTGACATTTGAGTGGAATTTCCAGAGTACAAACATAAAGTTCAGTAGCAGCTTCTCTTTTCACTTCCTCTTTTAATTCACCGCCCACACTTTTAAAAGAGTAAAATTACCAGACAACCACACCCACACATAACACATGAACAATTAATGTCCGTCCCCACGAGGTCCAGCCATGGAACTGGCACAAACTTAGGAAACTTTGAGAACTTTTTTTGATCCTTAGATAAAGATCAAAGGTGTGTGTCATCATTCGGAACCAGTGACATTATCTTCACACCCACACATGGTTCGTGGTGCATGTTTTTGAACCCAGAGTGTGGACTGACTTCAGCTCCTGTTGGTCCAGAGGTTTGAATGGTGAGTTTTTAACAACGTCTTTCACTAGAGAAATTTTCCTTTCCTTGAAGACATTTTTCAAAATCAACTGTTGGCGTGACAAACACACACAGAGAGAAAACAGAGAGCATACAGGGAAAAAAGTTAGTGAGACAAAAACACATGATATTTGTTTGTCTTTGTGTGTTTTGTGTGTTTTTTAACCTACGTTGCTTATCAGGAATGTTAGCAGAGCTAGCATTAGCACAGCTGAGGCCAGAATGAGCCAGTAAAAGTCAGTCATCGTTTCTTCATTATCAGAACAATCTGGAAACAACAACAACAACAACAACAACAAAATCAATACAGGTGTCAGTTTTCAAATCTTTGTCAAAGTAAAGTAAACGTAAACAACCCCAACACTTTTTTTTCCTTCCAATCAGTGATGACATTATGTTTCAGTTTAGTTAGTGGTTCCCAAAACTTTTCTGCAGTCCTCTCTTTGTAGATAGGAATATCCTCACGTCCCAATAAATTTGTTTAATTTAATGAAACTTATTTATTTGAAACACTGTAATTTCAACAAAACTGAACTCCTTTTTTATTATTATTTTGACCCTATTATCCCATACATATATTTATATATATGTTATACTTGCAGTGCCCCCCTGCACTACCCTCCATTTAGGGAACCACTGATTGAAGTTAAAGCTTCAGTATTTGTCTTGATGATTTGATGACATCACACACCCCTCTTACCTGTGACAGTAAGAAGAACTCGTCCCAGCCAGCTCTCTCCATCTGCAGCAGTGGTCACCTGACATGTGTACAGGCCAGCATCCACGCACGTCACATCAGGCAGGAGGAGATGATGTGACTGCGGGTCCACATCCAAACTGTTGGTACTGTTGAGGAGGATGCGTCCCGAGACACCGGAAGAGACAAAATCTCTGATCTGTAGAGTGGAGAACGGAAAAAGAAATCTGGACTGAGTATGATGTCAATGGATTCAACAGATTAATGACGTTTGAACTTCTGTTCTGTCCACAAACTGAGGAGTGAACGAGTGAAGGGTCTCTTACCTTGTACCATGTGACCTCTCTGGACTGAACATCTGAACTGTTGTTGTCAGTCAAACACTCTAGAAAACAGTTTGAAGCAGAAACACAGATCTGCGAAAGCAGCTGAGAACATGAGCACATGGATGTGCACACACCTGTGGGAGAGACAGAACACGCACACACAGATAGGTTAGTGTTAGGTCTGAGTACTGTGTACGTATTACACTATAAAATATTTGAATAAAATCATAAATCAAAAAGAAAGAATCAAAAATAAATAAAATACCCACTGAGAATCAGCAGCAGGATACAGTTCTCGTGGCCTGGAGACATGATGATGATGATGATGAAGATGATGGTGATGATGATGAAGATGATGGTGAGTATGATGTCCGTGCTCTTGCCTTTAAGTCGGTTCTGTTTCTCTCGCTCTTTTTATACTATTAACCACACCCCCATGATGTCAGAGTGATGACATCATGGGGGTGTGGTCAGTGGTGATACGACACTTTTATATTCCACTTTGACAAATCAGGTGACAGAGTCATGCAAATGAAGAAAACAAAGCGAAAGTTGAAGACAGGGGGAATCTCCCTGGTGTTTCCCTCTAAGAGGAAGAAAAATAAAACAGAATCTAAAAAACGGGAAACTCCGATAACTCTCTAAAGGTGCAGTCCAGGGTTTTTTTATTGACCTTTTGTGCTTTTATTGAACTGAGGACGTAGAAACAAGAGACCATTCAGGGAGGACAATGAGACACTATGAGACACTGACTCACTTCTCTTTCTTATCAACCCTGAAAGACAAAACTATAGATGTTTTCTTTTTTCAGACACAGCAGTTGTTGATCCACCGCTGGTTCTATCAGTTCACTTGTCTTGTGTTAGATACACTGTAGCTGTTCCTGGGAAAATATAATTGTAACTGTGAACTCAGTGTTGTTTCTTGAAACTGAAACAGTTCTGAGGAAGAAACACCTTAAAGGAACTTTAGAAAATATTTTCTTTTTAATTGTGATTTAACAGAAAACAACATTTTCATAAAACACATTTGTTCTGGAAAAAAAAAAAGAAAAGGTTAAAAAGTTCTGACAAACCAGATCTCTCTGCAGTCTTTATGTCCTCAGCAGATCTGGTTCTGAAGTCTTAGATCAACAACCGGTCCAGTTTCATGTGTTCTGAAGTCAACAGCAGGTTCTGGTTCTGGTTCTGGGGGTTCTGTAGATCCCAGCTGGTCTGATTCTGGTCCTGGTTTGTTTTCTAACTGACGGGACCTTTGACCAGACCCTGTTCTTTCCTCAGAACCGGGGCGTGAATGCTACAGTCCCGGGCCTCACAGAATCCTGGAACTCCTGCAACCCCCGTGGTACCAGGTGGACCCACTGGACCCCTGAAGCCACGAGGACCACTGGGTCCTTCCAGACCATCTCTGGGTTCCGCTGGTAGACCTGGAAAGCCTGCGAAGAGGAACAGTAGCTCAAAAACCTTACACACTATAAGCGCCCCCTGCTGGTTTCTGCAGTTGATGTTGTTGAATTCAGGTAGAGGGCGCTCTCTCTATATTAGTGACAAAGAACTGTTGTGACAAAGTCGTGGAACATTTCTAGAACATTTCTGGTACCTCTAGATCCTTGCGGTCCATCAGGTCCTGGCAAACCTTTACCTGGACTTCCCATGAGTCCTTTAGATCCTTTCAAACCTAGAGGCACAAAAACCAGATGAAAGACCAACTCTGAAATATCCAGGATTTTCCTGAAAAAACCTTTTCCGACTCCGTAAATGTAGAAATTGGATTTTGTTCTGGTTTTATTATTATTATCATCATTATTTAATTATGAGTTCATACGTAGTTAGTTGTTATTTATTATAAGTATTCAGTCAGACTTGGGTCTGTGTTACTGATAGTTTGGTTCTGACCTGTTTCTCCTGGTTCACCTGGCTCTCCATGCAGTCCTCTCTCACCCTGAGCTCCTCTCGATCCCTTCGCTCCATGTTTTCCAGCTTTTCCCTGTAGGAACAAAAATGTTGTTAAATTTTGTTTTTAAGTCAAATGTTAATATTTGATTCTAGTGAAGCCCGCTCCACCCTCCCTGCTGGGACTCACACTCCTGCCCTGCAGGCCTTCCTGTCCTGGGGCGCCCGGCGGCCCGATCAGCGTCCTGTTGTTGATAGGGCAGCCCTGGGAACACTTGGCCCGGATGGAGGCGGCGTACTGAGAAATCTGGGCCGTGACCACGCCTCGACAAAGCTGCAGGACCTGCTCATCACTAAGACCTGGACCCTGCAGGACCAGACCAGCGGTGGTTAGAACTGGTCTCTGACTGAGTCCATTCTGAGACTTGAAGGTTCAGGTTAAAGATTGAAACTCTGATATTAGAACAGCTTGACCCTTGACCCAGACTCACCACAGAACCCTGGACTCCTTTGGGTCCAGCTCGGCCTCTGACACCGGCATCTCCAATCAGACCTCGCTCTCCTCTGGTTCCTGGGAGTCCCGGTGGACCCACGGGACCAGGACCACCGGCAGGACCGACTGGACCTTTCAGTCCATGCTGCCGGAAAAACAATGTTGTAAAAAAAAAAATTAAAAACTAAAGAAGAAATATGAACAATGTTTACAGTTAAAACTACTCTCTCTCACCTGTCCTTTGTCTCCTCGCTCGCCCAGGATTCCCTAAAAAAAAATCACAAGTCAGAGAAATTCCACAGTAGGCGAGAAGTGGTCAGCAAGATGTGACCTCTGACCTTACCTTTTGACCTTTATCTCCTTTGATGCCTTTCCTGCCTGCTGCCCCCTGCAGGATGAAACACACATCCATCCGTAATCTCACCTCAATCCTTGTTGTAAACCCATTCATTTCTTTTTAATCTGTTTGCTTGATTAAGATCTAAATCATTTCTGTGTCACTCACCTTTGTACCAGGAGTGCCTTGTTCACCTTTCGCCCCCTACAGGAAACAAATGATTTCACATCATTATTTATGACCACGACATAATTTGATTTATTGTATAAACCTGAGATCTGATCTAATCTAATCTTATCTAATCTTATCTAATATTATCTAATCTAATCTAATCTAATCTAATCTAATCTAATCTAATCTAATCTAATCTAATCTAATCTAATCTAATCCGTCCAGATGTCGTTAGACGTCTGTTCCTGTTGTCAGTACCTACCTGAGCTCCCTGCAATCCTCTGGCTCCTGGGTTTCCTGCTACTCCAGAATCTCCGGGTTCTCCTTGAGTCCCCTGGTGGACAAAGACAAAACTTACCCTGTTCTTTATAATGGTACAATAAAAAAGGTTCACGGAGTTAGAGCTCTAATCAAATCCAGGTGCTGTTTCTTGCTTACCACAGCGCCCCCTCTTCCTCGGGGTCCTCTCACACCCTGTTCCCCTTTGTTCCCCTGAAAAAGGAAACAAACCCAGAGATTGGTAATCTGGACTCCACACCTGAAATCTAAGATCCTAATCCTGAATTTTGAAATTAAAATTAAAAATAAATTATTTGACCTTGGGGCCAAATTGACCTGGCTCTCCGATCACACCCGGGACTCCCATTGAACCCTGTGAGAGAAAACACATTTTTATCATTTAAAATTAATCTGAATCAAAAACCAAATCCATTACCTGCACAGACGAGACAGGACAGAAGAACTTACGTCTTGTCCAGGATCTCCGTCGCTGCCTGGAATTCCATCCAGACCTTTACTGCCCTGACAGGAAGGAGAAAGTCACAAGTAAAACACAGTAGACAAGAAACAAGAAATAATTTGCCATTTTAAGTCAAATGGAGAGTCATGTCTGTTGGTCAAAATGTCAAATGTCTGGATTCTGGTTCTTAACAATCTGCAGTCAGTGATCTTCATCATGTGACCTGAGACCACTTCCTGTCTCTCCTCTCACCTTTGGTCCTGACGGTCCAGTGCCCCCTGGCTGTCCAGGATAACCCTGCAGAGGGACAAAAACTCCGACTTTAAATCCAGATCATCAGGTAACTTTCTGCTCCACCTTCTCCACAAAGTTCACTAATAAACAGGCTGAACAATATTTTTTTGATTCTATTCCAATCCTTAATCTGCAGCTGTAAAATTATCTTCTTCACTGTTACATTTAAGAACCCACTAATGTTTCTCAGAATCTCTGGATGATGAAGATGACAAAGATGAAGAATCTTACAGTGTATCCTCTCTCACCAACATCTCCTGGGAATCCTGGAGCTCCAGTCTGACCCTGGGAAGGAAGAAATACTTAGAATTAAATGGAGTTGGAATAAATTGGGATTGGGATTAAGGTTAGATTAGATTGAACATTATTGATCGCACACTGGGGAAATTCAACTGAATAAACTTCTGGAGATAATTCAGTCGCTCCTGATACCTTTGGTCCGTCTCGTCCGTGTTGACCTTGAAGACCTTCAGTACCTCGAGTACCCTAAGGAGACAGACATTGGTGTCATGGACCATGTAGAGGTGATGATGATGAAGGTCATGGTGGAGGACGTGGTTTTCATCTCCATCCTCTCATTACAGTAGAAAACATTTTACCTTCACACCTTTACCTCCCTTTGAACCTGGAGGTCCAGCTTCACCGGGAGAACCCTAAAGAACATCGGCACATGCAGTTTAGAACACAGCTGAGATCTTTGGAGATCAGCCCCCAAATTATGAACAAGTGATGAATGACATTCTGTGTTTCCTTACAGGGCCACCAGGGGCACCAACTCCACCTTGTGGTCCTTCCATGCCGACGTCACCCTGTGAAGAAGAGTCAGGTTTAAAAAAGGTATAAAAAGATATCAACACACAACGAATAATTCTAAAAAGAAATAGACAAAATAAATAATGTGTTTACGTTCAGACCAAGCTCCCCGCGTTCACCTAGATCTCCTGGAAGTCCAGCTTCTCCCTAAAGATCATCCAATAAATGTATTAAATGAATGTTTGCTTCGATTACAGGCACATTTTTGTAAATCTCTCCATTACACCAAAGTCTGGAGAGAAAACCATTGATTTTAGCTCACAGAAACACAGGAGCTGCTGGTCCACTACTGACACCTGTGGTTAGTTTCTGTAATTACAGCATACGTGAACCCAGTGACGGAGGCAGCAGTGGATTCCTGATATTCTCTATGAACTTTGGTGTTGGAGGTTCCACTGGTCCATGAACTCACCATGGCTCCAGAAAAACCTGAAGCTCCATCGTCTCCTTCAGGGCCAGCATCACCCTAGACAGGGTCAGAGGTCAAATGTCATTCCATTTACATCACAATGCATCAATGAAACAGTCTGTTTGTGTTTCCTGTCTGTGTCGGTCTCTTGGTTTGTCATGTGTCGACTGACCACAGGCCCTGCGACTCCTCCTCTTCCCCGAACACCTTTGGTTCCTTTATAACCCTGGAAGATACAGAGACCGAAGCTCAGACCATGGACCAAGTTCAGGTTTTGGTTCTTATCAAAAACCAATCTCTCTTACCTCACGGCCTTGGGGACCAGGTTCTCCAAGTTTACCCTGGAGTCCTCTGGATCCCTGACAGGAAGAAGGAACCAAAACAGTTGAGACTTTAACAAACTGACCATCATCATCATCATCATAATTATTATTCCTCTGATGACATCACACCTTGGGTCCCATGAATCCAGCAAATCCTGGTTCTCCAGGTTCACAGTCACACTCTGTTGGCCCCGCCTCTTCCTGTCCAAGCAATGCGTCAGCTCCAGACTCTTCTGAGGAGTCGGTGTCAGGAAACTCGTACTGGACGTCGAAGGACACACATGAAGCCTTATTTAAAATCTTCACTTTGTCATTTGACTTGAATCCACAGACATTTCTAAAAGCCGTGAACTGAAGAAACTGACTGTTGTGGGTTCTCCATTATTACAGTAAATACCAGAGTCAGTGGTCACTACTGACTTATTCTCATCTTCATCATCACCATCGTCATCATTTGGACATATCAACAGAACATAGCGGTGATAATATATAATAAATCTGAAGCCATGTCCAGGTCCAGGTCCTGGTCCAGGTCTTCTCACCTGCATTAACTCTGTGTCCTCTTTGGCGTAGTGAGACTGGGCCGTGGGGACGAGTGGGAACGTGTCCTCAGTGATCATGGTCACCTGGTTAGGGGCGGAACCGTAGGGGTCATAGTCTTCCTCCCCCTCTTCGTCTGGGACCTGGTCCTGGTCATAGAGGCGTGTTGGCCTCAGTGGAAACTCTAGAAGTTAGGGATCAAGGACAGAAGACATGAGTTCTGAGGAGTCCACGTGTCGTTGGTTTGGACACAGAGACACACAGAGAAGTTTGAAGGAAGTCCTCGTTCTTCTGGCCTCACCTGGCTCAGGAGACACATCCGTGTTAAATCGGCTGATGACCGAACCTTCGTCCACCCGGTACTCACCTGAAAACATGAAACAACATTTTTTCCAAGTGTGAAAGTGTCAAATACAACACATGGACAAAAATCTGGTTCAAGTTTGTAAAAGTGTACGAGTCTGACCTGAGGGAATTCCAGAGTTTTCCTCCTGACACTGAGAAAGGACCAAGACCCAGAAGAGAAAACCCAGAGGAACCAGAGACACCTGAGGCAGAACTTCATACGTCAGTCATCTACATTATAACCTTTTATTTATTAAGAAAAATATGTTGTTATCACTCAGGGAAATCACAGATTCTGAGAGTGACTGACTCTGGTCCACTGCAGTCCAGTCCTGAACACAGTTCTCTAACCAAACTCTAGAACCTGTCTTTGATTAAAATGTTCAACAACTTCTGACAAGACAAGACACCGGCGCCAGAATCTGGATTCTGGGCCTTCCACAGAACTAAAACACAGACTAACTGTAGAATGTTAGTTTAATTCAAAAAATTAAAAATGTCCTCAGGTTCTCGTGTAAATATTAAAATATTAATATATTAAAAAAACAGATCTGAAAACTTTTACTAATTCAGTTCTGATCACGCTTGAATACTTTTCAATTTTAGAGATTTCTTCCTTTAACAGAAAAAAAGGGGGAAAAAAACTTGAGGACAATTTTGTTTAGACGAAAATAACTTCAAACAGATTAGATTTATGACAAAAAACAACAAACAGTAAACAAACTAAATTCTGAGTGTGTTTAAAATGATGATTAAAATGACTGATTTTCCCGATCCTGATCCTGACTAAACTGTAAACCAGAAAAACAACAACGTTTACCTGCTTCCTGGAGACGCTCATTGTTCGGCAGCTTTTTCAAACAAAGACACAAAAAAAGCAAAGCTTTTCTCAGCAGTCGTCCTTATCCAGTTTCATCAAGTTCCCTGTCCTCTCTGAGAGCCCACGTCCCTCAGGTCCCTGCACTCTGTGAAAGTCCAGATCCCTCAGGATGAGCAGGGACTGATGTCTCCTGAGTCTCTGCTTCTCAGCTGGGTGAGAAATACCAGATCTAAAAACCCAGGATCAGCACAAAAAGCAGGTTTGTACAAAACATTCTGCTGCAGTTTTCTGCTTTGTGACTCAGAACATTTATCTTCACCAACTATATTTTTTTAAATAAATCAAACTGTGATCAAATAAATGAATAATTCAATATTAATAGCAACATCAAATTTTTAAATTCACTTATTTTTCTATCATAACCTTTTCACCCAAAGAGTGAGCGAATCACATCTGCAGTCAGTGATTACTCTACAGTTTGTTCACATCCTTACCTTCCAGACTGAGTGACACTGACAACAAGAACTGAAGTCTGTGAACTGCTCTCAGGGACACAGACGCAGCTGGTCCACTGCTGCCTCCTGTGGACGGTGTGTGTCACTGAAGTACATTTAAGCACAATCAGCAATGACTTTAAAACGTGTAACTTCTCTCCCACGTTTCTCACATGTATTTCCAATTTCCCAGTAAAGTTTGAGCTGCAGAAAGAGACACATTTAGTTTATATCATAAATGTGACCCCTGAGCTCCGCCTCCCGGGTCTGGGTCAGTAACTGGGTTTAGACCCACAGTGGTTTCTGCTGCAGAGACTGTTCAGGAGTAGATCTAACACCCAACGTTTTATTTTATTGTCCACAACAAAATAAAGGTCTGATGAAATTGTAAATTTTCAGTAACTTTTATTCACAACCATTAATCAAACCATTTTTGACTTTCATCAGTTCTCCTCGTCCTCCTCTTTCATCTCGGTCTCCCCCTCCCCTTTTTTCTCCTTCTCCTTTTTCTTCTTCTTCTTCTTCCTCTTTACGTCCCGGTGGGGGTCACTGGGAGAACAGGAATCTCTGAAGTCCAAACAGAAATCACTTTAATCCTGAACTCATCTTCTGATTTCACACACAGACACCAAACATCTTCTAACACCTGGACCATCTGACACAATAATGCTGACGTGACCTTTATTTCTTTTTAGCTTTGTCTCTACTGAGAAAGAACAACATGACTGGAGTTCTGCTCCCACACTGTGACCTTTGATCTGTGACCTCTCACCTGTCTCTCTTCTTCCTCTTCTTCCTCCTCTCTCTGTCCTTACTTCCTTCTCGGTTGTGACAGAATCGTCGATGACTAACTTCTGACTCGGGTGATGATGATCTTCTTTTACACCTACGTCTGAGATAGAAAACAAATAAATGGATAAAAACAGTTCTGCCTACGGTGTTGGTACCGATTCATCGGTGACCCCGTGAATACGCTGATGGTAGAACAGACTCTGTGGGAACAGAATGTTTGAAGAGTAAACCAGCAACAACTGTACCTGTGGGAGGATGGTTCAGACGGTGTTGAGTCCTCCTCCTTCTCCTCCTCTCTCCACTGTCTGGACAGCTCCTCTGAGTGGACGTTGATCACCTCCCTGATCACCTGCAGAACCAGAACCACATGGACCGTCTGTGTTGTGAATCACAGCAGTGTGAACACGGAGGAACTGTGCACCGACTCCTGTCTTTACCTCAGTGTACGACTTCTTAGTGATGTGAACGTTCTTGGCTCGGTACGACTGACGACGACGTTTGTAGTCCCTCATCTCTGCCATCAGTTCCAGGTGAGTCTTTGGCTCCTTCTCTTCCTCAGCTGGGTAAACACACACACAGACCTGGTCACTTTGGCAATGAAGGAAATGTATTTATTAACTGTTCCTGCACCAAAGTCCATAGAGAAAATCATAGATTCCAGCTAACAGAGAGCTGGGAGCTGCTGGTCCACTGCTGCCTCTTGAGGCCACTTTGTGTAATTGGGGCACATTTTTTATAAACGAAGTTACAAAATAAAACATTTTAACTTGCAGGCCAGAAGTGGCCCCCAGACCAAGGGTTTGTCACCCCTGCTCTATATAGACTTTGATGAAAGCAACTGAGTGGTTAGCGTTACTGTTGCCCCATGCTGCCCCCTGCAGGCAGCGCTGTTGTGTAAACGTAACACAATACTCAATCCACAACTATTGAAAATAAGTTTTCATTTCAATTTTTCTCTCAAACCAGGAAGAAGACCCACCTTTCTTGAGTTTGGACACAAGATCTACATAGAGATCATCATTGCTGGAGCTAGGGGCCTCCTTCTTCTGGCTGAGCACATTGATCACATGATTATAAAGAGCCAAGCGGTCAGCCACAGTGAGGTCACACACAGCCCTCTTGTGGTTCTGAGGAACATCCACTGATTGGCTGGAGAACTGACCTGGTAAAAAAGGAAAAAAAAAGTTAAATTAATCAGAGCTACAAAGGACACACCATATGTATCTGAGCTTTAATCGCTCAACGAGCTTGACTCTAGCCCAAGGTTTGAATGAGTGATAAATACCCTGCCAGAAAACTCCTTCCATCTTCATCATGGGAGCAGCAGATCGAGCCTGAAGAATCACCTGCTGCTGTGCTGACTTATCTGCGAGCAGAATCAAAATACACAAAATAAATCAGGACTGTGGTGGGTGAGGAAAAGTTTAACCTTTGACATTAACCCCGGGATTCGGCTGTTTATACATAAATCTGATCTCTTGGCCGTTAGACAAGGGTCAGGAAATAAAAAGCTTCTGGAACCTTCTATGATTTTCCCCAACAATAAAGGTAAAATAATTTAAGCAGTTTGCCTTTCCCCACGGTGGGAAGAATAAAACTTTAGACACGACTCACCCAGGATGAAGCTTCTGACTCTGCTGTTCTGGTAACAGACTGAAGGATCGACCATTTCTGCCTGGAACACACAACACACAATGCACACACAACTGAAAAAAAAAATCTACATGTTTCTCACCGCCTATACTGAGAAGTGATGGTAAAAAGGAGGTAAAATTACAGCACTACATGAGACTGGGCACAAGGTGGCACCTTTTGCTCAAAACACCTTAGCTTACTCTAGAACTGTGTTGGTTATTTATTTGAACAGCTCAAGTATTAATATTTTAGCACAAAACCCTGATAATTGGCCGTTCAGCTTTGAAGCACAGAACAACATTATACCATCATTGTTGGTGCAGCTCCTTGCTGCCCCTACTGGTTACAGTATCGTCCTACCTGTTCCTCTGCTGAGTACCCCATCTTCTTGAGGCCACAGCAGATCTTGTGCTTCTCCATGTTCTTAAATGAGACTCTGTGGCCGCCATCGTATGGACACGGTTTCATGAATTCCTACAAATGTTTTAAAAGAGTCATTAGAATTAGACAGAGACGGACCCCGCACTGAGAAGATGACGAGGACATGAATAAAAAAGGGCAGTAGAAATAGAAAAAAAACGACTCCAGGGAGAGATGGAAACAACATGATGTTAGAAAGGAAATACTGTATGAGGACAAGAACAAGGGAAAGTGAGTTGGGGAGGCGACTAGAAAAGGGAGAGTTTGGGGGAAAGGGCGCTTTAAGTGAGTTAGGGAGGCGACTAGAAAAGGGAGAGTTTGACTCGGAAAAGTTTAAATAAAATGAGAAGCGAATATGTTTAAGGCGTGTAGTTTACGTCACCTGTGTGTGTAGAAGATTCCATCCTAATGTTTCAAAAACCTTCTCTAACTGTTTGCGACAGTTTCCGGTGAATTCCTGTAGTTCCTGTAGACGGAGCTGGCGCTCCTCTGGATTCACAGCGTTATCTGACGGAGACATGACTCACTTTTGTCGAAAATTCGTGGTTTTATTACATTAATCCTCTTTACAGAACATTATTCTACTTGTCGTTATTTTCCTTTGCCGTAAAGCAACGGCGCTTTGTGATGACGCAGTTCCGGGAAGGGTTTCTTTTTTAATCGTCTTTTATTTTTTATTTAAAAACAAAACGTGTAATAATTTTCCTTTTTGTAAAAAAAGATTAAAAATAATATTACCACCTCCAAACACGATTAAAGACAAATTAGGAAAAGTGGTAAAAAAAACAAAAACTAATTTAAGTCCCTTGTATTTCACGCACATATATTTTCTATTTCACTACAGTTTTATGTAAAATGCCCATTATATTATGTATGTAAATTCTATTTTTTATAAATCAGAATGTCTCTGTGTTCGTATCGTTCATCGGCCATTTCTGTCAAATATCACTGTTTTTTTTTTATCTGTCTTGTCGTTTTGTCCTCTGTAACGCAACAAGAAACAAAAGTTAATGCATCTGTTACTGCTTTGTCAGTAACAGCCCATTGACAGTAGAGGGCGGTGAAACATAAACACGTTCTTCAACAGAGAAAGTCCTTTTTCTGCTGTTTTTACAGCCATTATTACACAACCACACAACTATGCACACACGTTAGTCAAAAACAACAAAAACAACCATTTAGTAATAAAACTTTTAATGGAAGTTTTTTTTTAAAAAAAAGTCTTTATGTTGTGTAAAGGTAAAATCGTGGATGGATGGAGGGATGTCTGATGTTCTACATCTTCTTTTCAGACGATTGCTGATTTCATAAACTGAAAAAAGAGATGATTTTAAACATACATGATTCAATAATAAATATCAAAATAATCCAGTAAAAAAGTGTTTTCATCAAAACTAAAGAAAAACAAAAAAGTTTAATCTGTTTTTATTTGTCTTTATCAATCTCTCAAATAAGAAAGAAATAATGAAAAATTTAAAAGATATGAATCAAACACTTTTCACCTGCTTGAACGAAAAGCTGGCAACCTGGCAGTCACAGGGTAGAGAGAGAAGATGAGCCTGGAAACGCTCTGAGAAGAAGAAGAGAAGGAGAAATTGTCATCTTGATATGACACTGACATTTATCATCTTCATCTGTGACTTTTTTTTATTTTTTATTTGAATCTTTATTTCATTGACGTAATATCTAAAGACCAATAAAGAATTTATTTTTTTTATTTGAATCATTATTTCAGTGACGTAATATCTAAAGACCAATAAAGACTCTGTATCTGTATCGTCACCTCTGAGTATCAAGAGTTTGGTCAGGACAGCTGTGTACTCGTCATAGTCTATCCCATTTCTGGTCCCGTGCTGCTGCCACAGCGTTCTGAAGGTTTGATCATCTACAACCAGTTCTGTGGACAGGAAGTCAAACTTCACCGTGGTCTGACAGTGTGAGAGTGATTCCTCCTTTTGTGAATCTGGAATTTTGGAGTGAATTACCTCGATCAGACAGAGCCTTCCACAGCTGGTTTTGAGTAGCCTGGCTTCCTCTGACGTTGCTCCCCACATACTCTCTCCTGATGACGGCCACGAAGTGTTCCAGTTTAAACATCTCCACGTCATCCAGGTCTCCGTTGTTGTTGCTCTGGGAGCTACTGTTAAAGGCCTTAATGGGAAACGTGCACCATCATCATCACTGTCACCATTATCACTATCACTATCAGCAGACCTGAAGACTTCAGGAGCATTTACAGAGGATACGTCCATGAGGGTGATCAGCAGCTGGGCGGTCCTTAGCGTCAGGGCTAGGATCAGGAAAAGTGAACATGATTATGAAGAAAACAAGTTCAGTTTTTAAAAAGTATTCGTAAGAAACTGACTTTTTCCACTGACTGATAAACCTCCTGCTTCCAGTTTGGCCAGGACGGCCTCAGCATCCAGCATCTGAAAAGAACCAGAACACTCAGACCCGGTCTACAGCACACCACTGAGCTGATCTGATCTGATGGATGGTTGGACACTTTTCAGAGCTTCTCACAGTGAAAACAAAGACGGTGAAGATCTGGAACCAGGTTCTGAACCAGAGGTTACTGAGAACCTGGTCCTGCACTTAACCCCTATCTACAGTACCATCTCTGCTAGTCTGGTGAATGTGGGACATAGCAATAAAATTGTCAGAACAGAACAGAACTGTGATGTCATCTTTCAGAGACCATGAATGAAGACAAATACCTGTAAGGCGCTGTCCTCCTGTAAGACAGAAGTTGAACACATTCAGTCAACGTTTTTGCGATGGTTGTTATTGGTTCATTATACTGTATAATCACATTGACTAACACAGTGAACACACAGTGAAACATTTCATAAAAATACTCACAGAAATACACATCTGCTGTGGGAAGCGGTCACACTGCAGTTCTGTGGGCCAGGAAACTCCAAAGGTGTTCATAATGGGCTCACAGCCCTGTTTGGCCCGCTCACAAAAATTCCTGCAGGGCCACTGCACCTCCCCAGCCACACACTGGGGGGCGTAGACTCTACAGAGGAAAAGACGGATGTCAGCGGAGCAGACGGTCTGGACCATGGAGTTGAAGAAGGACATCTTCGTCACGGCCTCTCTCTGGCTGCTGTGGCCCAGCAGGTTGGGGCTGATGGTCATGTTGTAGCTCAGACGCCCACACATAGGGATGGTGATGGGCTCACAGATGCCCCCAGTGGTGCTCGCGCCGTACTGAAACCAGTGAATGTGATTGAGTCTTAGAGCAGTGACAGCAGAGGTGGAAGAAAACAATCCGGAGTGTTCTGTTCACCTTAGATATTCCTCAGTGACACAAACTGACACCAGGAGGCAGCAGTGTATGAGCTAAAATGAATGATTTTCTCTATGACTTTGGTCTGTCTGCCACTGAGTTACGGATGTGTCTAGGTTCGGCAGGAAGACAAAAGCCGATCTTTTGGCTGAAATGTTTGACATCCACCAGGGGGTGCTCACAGACCAGTGTTGGTCTTCTTTTAGTGTTTTTTGTTTTTTTTTTTAATATTCTAAAACATACAAATGTGAAAGCATTGTGTCATGAATAGAGGGCCTCAAACTCACATGGTCACATGATTCTGTGGTCAAAAGGTCACAGCGGAGTTTTTCAGGCCACTGGAATCCAAACCGGTTCATCAGTGTTTCACAGCCCGACCGGGCCTGTTCACACAGGGTTCTACAGGGAGGACGGGCTATTCCTGCCACACACTCAGGCGTGTAGACGGAGCAGAGGAACGTCTTCAGGTGAGGAGAACATTCCACCTTCACCAGAGGATAGAACTGATGGATCTCGTGGCCCGCGTCCTCCTGGGTTTTATGGCCCAGCAGATTGGGCAACACAGTCTGAGAGTAGGAGAGGTCTTTGCACAGAGGAACTTCGATGGTCTGACACATCGCAGGGAGAGGATGAAGAACCTGATCCTGATCCTGATCCACCGTCTGAGGAAATGGAGGAACAAATCAAACCTGTTTACATAACATAGGAACATACTTTGAATAAAAAGTATTTTAGGAAAGAACTCTTCAAAATACATGGGAACTGTGTTTGAATGTGAAGAAAAAAAAGTTATTTTACACTTGAATAATGAACTCGATTGAGAATCAAAACGATGAGAGAGGGGGGAAAAAGCAGTATTTAAAAAAATACTTTAGAGGCTAAAAAAAACACAGAAGCACAAAAAAATTGTGGGAAAAAATAAATTAGAATCAAAAATGTCAGAAGTGATTAATGATCTGAGGAGTCGAGTTTAAAGGAGCAGAACTTTGTTCGATTTATTCTGTTTGAAATTTAGTATAAACAGGGGAAACAAAGAGGGTTCCATTAATGTTTCACTCTCAACTAATAGGTGTGAATGTGAGTGTGATTTTATTTTCTACATGTCACCCTGTGATGGACCAGAGGACTCTTCAGGGTCTAACTCGCTCTGGTCCTGCGACTGTGGGCTGTGATTGGCTCCACCCACCAACCTAATAATGACTGTCACATCTGTTCAGACATGACTGACTGGACTGGACTGGACCGGACTGGACTGGACTGGACTGGACTGGACTGGACTGGACTGGACAAACTGGACTGGACCGGCTCAAACTCACATGATCACATGATCCGGTGGTGAAGAGCCCACAGCTGAGTTTTTCAGGCCACTGGACTCCAAACCGGTTCATCAGCGGTTCACAGCCCGACCGGGCCTGTTCACACAGGGTTCTACAGGGAGGACGGGCTATTCCTGCCACACACTCAGGCGTGTAGACGGAGCAGAGGAACGTCTTCAGGTGAGGAGAACATTCCACCTTCACCAGAGGATAGAACTGATGCATTTCGAGACTGGCCTCGGCCTGGGTTCTGTGGTCCAGCAGATTGGGCAACACAGTCCGAGAGTAGGAGAGGTCTTTGCACAGAGGGACTTCGATGGTCTGACACTGGTCAGCAGGGGTTGGAGCGACGTCTGTACCCTGAAAGAACATAAACACAGTTCAGTGAGGGAGGTTAAAGAGAGGATGCTGGGATACAGTGATGGGTTTTCTTCATAAGTAAATCTAGAAAAGTCTTTGAGGCTCAACCACCATTTGTTACTGACATTTCTTACGATCCATTTTTATCAAATGTGCACATTAGTCACCAACCGAACCAGACATGTGACTTTGGACAGTCATTTTTTGTTTCCCAAACTCTGACCGCGCCCTCTGAAACAGTACCTAGTACACCGGAACCGTTACCGTTGGACACCTACCTGGACACAGTTGGACTCTGGAAGGGTTTCACACTGGAGCTTCGTGGGCCAAAAGAGTCTCCTGGCCCTGAGCTTGGACTCACAGTCCGTCTTCACCTTCTCACAGAGCGACCGGCAGGGTTTGGACCGTGTGTCGTCCGACCCGCATTCAGGTAAGGCCACGCGACACATCAAGGTTTTGACGTCTGGGGAACAGTTTGTGTCCACGATCTGTGCAACCTGCTGCAGGATAAAACCCGGAGCCCCAGCCGGGTGGAGGCTGGAGGTGTAGCCCAGCCCCTGACATACACTGGACGTGAAGGGTCTGCAGTTCGACCTGTCGTTGCTGCTGCACTGGGTCTGCTGCAGCAGAACCCAGCCCAGAGTCACCAGGATGAAAGACCTCATGGTTCCAGTTTCAGTATCACAGACGTTCTGACACCAGCAGGTCTGTGTTCTGCTCCTGGTTTCTTTTTAGAGGCGGAGTAGCAGTTCACCAATGGAGTTTCTACAAACCCCCCACTGACCTCCATCCACTGCTGCACTCTTAGATTTGGTGGAAACGTGTTGCAAACTGAGAGGCAGGCTGGTCTGAGAGCAGCTGCGTCTGAAGCTCCACATCTGGATGTGATTAGGAGACGGTTGCACAAATGTGGAACAACAGTCCTGGCTCGCGGACAGTTACGTGTTCCAGCACTAAGTGCAGTTGTTTTATGGAGGACAATGTTGTTTCCAGAAGAACGTGGGGAACATGTGAGGATATTCAATGAGAACCAGCAGGAAACAGACCCCAATAATGTGAATTCCAACATTACATCACACCGTCATGTCAAAACACGACAGTCGAAGTAAAGCACCTTATTTTTAATATATCAGATTCTTCAGTCACGTGACGAATCTAAAGAATCTAAAGAATCTAAAGAATCCTATTTCACCTCCGATATGATCAGAGACAAATAAGAAAAACAATTCCACTGAATCTAAAAACCTTCACCAACCAGTCAGTCAGGACTCTGACCTCCTTCGAACTGCCTCACATGCCCCCCCTCCCCCGACTGTGTCTACTGATGATCACTGGGTTGTTGATACCTGAAACTGCAGAGAGTACTACTACATAGAGTACTACTACATAGAGTACTAATACAGAGAATACTGACCAGTGAAAAAAGATGAACCTAAAATAATTCATGTCTCACTGACAGCAAACTTCCACCAGTGGGCACCACAACTGTAAAAGAAAGAAAATTGACACCAAATCAGTGAGGTCATCAGACAGAAGCAGGGTCAAAAGGTCAGCAGCACAGGAGGACAGAAGGACAAAAAGTCCAAACCACATCCTGTGTTTATTTAATGCAGAGAACAAATGTTGTTATGGGTCTTTATATGCATATATACATATATATATATATATATACATATATATATGTATATATATATGTATATATATATATACATATATATATACATATATATATATGTATATATATATGTATATATATATATACATATATATGTATATATATATATACATATATATATACATATATATATGTATATATATATATACATATATATATATGTATATATATATGTATATATATATATACATATATATATACATATATATGTATATATATATGTGTATATATATATATATATATATATATATATACACATATATATATGTATGTATATATACATATATATATGTATATATACATACATATATATATGTGTATATATATATATATATATATATATAAACATGTACCACAATGTGTGTATTTGTCTAAACCTGCACAACCACCTCTACATTGACGTCCACATTTATCAGACCATCTTTAATCAGCAGACATGAGGGCGTCAGGCCCATGGACAGTCTGATTACATCTGAGCAGACAGATATAAAAGTGAGAAGAAGGAACAGATTTTTGTCTTCCTCTTCACCTTCATCAGTCTGTAGCAGCAGCAGCAGCGGTGAGTACAAACATCTGAGTACTTTTCAAATTTCAGTTTTCTGACTGACAGTAAGATCCATAGGTTCAGTTTCGTCTTGTGTTCCCAGTGACTTTGTGTCGCTGCTGCCTTCCTCCTGAACATCATCTCATGTGGTGACGGTTTCAAAGCTCCAAAGAAAAACGTTTCTTCTGTAGTTAAAAGATCTCCTGATTCTCCCTCACAGATACTCGCCACAATGTGCACCGTCACCCCTGACTGTTTCTTGAAGCAGAACAAACTGGAGCAGGCCATGGACACCCTGGTGGAGGTGTTCCTGTCCTACTCTGACCGGGCCCTTGGCAACAAGTACAGCCTGAGCTACACAGAGCTGAGAGACCTGATCCAGAAGGAGCTCAACCACCGTATGAAGGTGAGTCCCAAAGTCTGGGATCGTTACGAGCATCACTGCAGGTTGGTCCTCAAACTGGTCCAGATCCAGACCACACACCACCAGGGTCTGATGAGACCAACATTTGTTCACAGAGGAAGACTTTTACATGTGGCCTCCTTTAGGCTCACATCTTGTGTGTCTGACTCAAACACAAACACACTGTAGAGTGGGCCAGATCCACATGTGGTGTGGGCCAGATCCACATGTGGTGTGGGCCAGAGAGGATGCTTAATGAGTCAAAGCTAAGTTTGAATATTTAAAAAATTAAAGTATTATTATTAAATGTTATTGTTCTCCAGGGCCAACTGCAGATATCCAACCTGATGTGCAGTCTGGACGAGGACCGTGATGGAACCATTTGCTTTGAGGAGTTTGTTTTCCTGATCACTCGGGTCATCATCTGCTCCCACCCTCACTTCGAACGTTACAAACAAACCATTATAACATGTGGACAATTCAAATACGATATTTGATTGTAGTTGAATGAGCAGCTCACCAGTTCTGTCACTGATGTTTGCAGTGTCTCAATAAAAATACGGAACAAATAAAATTGTTGGAAACCTAACACTGATTCATTCCAGTGTTTGAAACTTTATTTTTTATGCACAAAAACTCTGTAAAAACACGCAGGTGTCGTTCATTCTCAGCGTGTTCACTGACAAACTTCAGCTCAATGGAAAACTGATCCAGAAACGTCAGAGTGAAATGTTCTGGTAAAGTTCTGGAAGTTTCTTCAGTGAGAGGCTGAGCTGCTGACGGGTGTGGGGTCGCGTCCCACGAATCTGAGCTGAGGCTCAAAGGAAAAAGTCTCTAAAACATGTTTCTCTGGAGAAGACGGCGAAGAATTATATTTGTCTCCACCTACTGGTAAAAATGTAACAACAAACCTATCCAACCTAACCTACTAATATCTGATCTGACAGACAATGTTTTATAACAGTGGTTACAACCTAGTTTAATCCTCGATGACAAACGATTCTCATTAAAATGTCTGTCCAGTTGCTTCTGACTTGTGGGCGAGGCTTTGTGTGTGTCCTCACTGTGAGCTGGGAAGAGTGTGTCCACCTGGTGGGCGTGGCTTCACGGCCACCAATACAAAGTTCCTGGGTGAGAAGTTTGGGTCAAACAGCGCCACCAGCTGACTGTTCACACCTGCAGGAGACCATTAGGACTGGTTAGAGGACACAGAGAACCCGGACGACATGGAGGACACCGAGGGTGGACACCTACCATTCTCCTGCAGGTAGACCATCCGGTCCAGCAGCACCAGTGTCTCCACCACAGGAGCCAGCAGCAGAGTCAGACTGAAGAAGACCACCACCTTCCTCTGCTGCTGCAGTAGACCACAAACACGGTTTTGGTCCAGATCTAGGTCCAGAGGCAAGCCCAGCCTGGCCAAACCCAGACGTGCGTACCTGAGAACCCACACAATATACGGTACCATGCACCTTATTTTGGATTCAGGACCCGAGTTAAGGTTGAGTTAGGACGTCAACTAGGATTCAGGAGGCAGTTGGCCCAGGGTTGAAGAGCTTAGATTAAGGTCTAGAAGCTAAAAGTTAGCTAAATATAAGCTTGAGTTTAGTTCTTAGTTCAAAGTGCAAGGCTAAGATTCCCAAAGTGTGGTGAGCTGCAGTGCAAGACTAAGATTCCCAAAGTGTGGTGAGCTGCCACTAGGGGGTGCGCGAGATCTCAGAAAACGTGAAGTTTGGTTTGGAGTTTTTTTTTAACGGGATTTTTCCACACAGTAAAGACGTGTAAATAAACACTTAAATTTAGAATCCAAAGCTGACATTTTAATTTAATTAATTGATTTAATGAATACTGAATTACTAAATAAATGCAGGTTATATATGTATATATGCGTGTGTGTCATATGTGTTCTGATCACAAAATTGTTGCAATTTTTTTTTTTTCCAAAGGTGTGGGGGATTTGCGGTGCATCAACCTGACTGGGATGTAGAAGCTCTAACATGACCACATGACGGTGTCAGTGTTACTCACTCTGTGAAGTCCAACTTGTGGGCCTTCTTGATGGTCTGTATTCCAGCTCTTCGTAGTTCAGGTCTGGTGTCTCTGATGACGGTCTCTAGAATGGCTCTGTAGCAGTGAATCCTCAGCAGCTCACTCTGATCCTTCAGTCTGCTGACGTAGTCCTCCAAGGCGTGACACGCCCCCTCCCGTGCCTTATAGGATAGCCTGTGTCCAGTCAAGCTTCGCACCCAGGAGCTCATTGGGTAGCCAAACACCGAGGGGTCCGAGTCCAGAGTCGGGGCGGGGGCTTCCACGACTCCCGGTGGGACGGGGTTTTCCTCGGTTGTGATTTTCATGTAGCAACACGCCACTGAGGTGATTCCACGGACATGGGGACAGTTGACAAAGTGACGGAGGAGGGTGGCGCTGAGGTCGCCGCAGGCATGGAGACCGGTAAGGATGAAATCATGGTCTCGGGAGTTGAAGCCTTCAGCACAAATGTTTGTCTGGGGAGTCCACTCCTGGACAACTGGAGAGCATCTGGTCTGGGCTGGGTGGCAGCAGCCCATGTGGTGCTCTGGCCCACACTGGCTCTTTCTTCTGGTTCCTGTTGAGTTGAGCTGTTTCATAAAATCCATCCATGTTCCCCTGGGATTTACCCAAGCAGTCACATGACGAGGGGCAGATTCTTGGCCTGGGAGCTCAGAGCCGGTCTACAGAGAAGAACGAGTTTAAAGATTTCTGTGAAAACATCTTCAGGAGGATATTGTTGATAATTTACTAAAGCGTACCTTCCTTCTCTTCTCTTTCTCCAAGGCCCACAGGAGCTGCCCATCAAATCTGGTTGCCATGTCAACCAGGGTACAGTCAGCCTCGACAGCAGTGACAGACAGACCCAAGCCGAAGGACAGGAAGCGGGTCAGGTGACCCTGTCAGAAGCAGACATTGGTTCTATGTACTGGACCAAATGATTTTATGATAAAAATAGTTCATGTTCGTAATCATTTGTGTCAATTCCCTAATCTCTAACATGACCTTCAGTTGACCATGACGATCCCAGACAGATATTATGTTCTATTTTGTACCTTTAAATTAATTTTTTTAAACAATAAAAACTAAACCTGGAGGAGGGTTTTACTGAGGTGTCAGTGGGTCTCGCTCTGCTCTATGGTCAAACAATGTTTTGGGTTCGATGATATATTTTTTCCCTTTGTAAAAATAATAATAATAATAATGTTACAATGAAAACAGTTTTACCTGTCCAGAACCGACGTCCACCACTCTGCTGCAGCCGGTCTCCTCACACAGTTCCTTCACCAACTGAGGATCACAACACAGCAGGACAGAAGAAGACCATGTACACACACACGTACAAACACACACACGTGTATGTCAGAAGGAAACAGGAAGTGACATACATGGCCCAGCTTATGGATCTCATGCTGTTTCTTGGCTTTGACGTGTTTCCTGAAGATGTGGACCAGCAGAGAACTCTGACTCAGGTTTTCATGGAACTCCTCAGGGATAGAACTAGAACCAGAGCTGGCGCCAACACGGTGTCGCCGTCTGCTGTTTCTGCAAAACGCCAGTGCATGGGCAGTGGCTCTGTAGGCCAAAAGGGACAGGGGCCAGACTGAAGGGTACCTGAGGAGACAAGACCACATCAGGCCTAAAAGACTACACACAGGTACACACACAAACACAGACACACACCTTCGGTCTTCATGTCCAGAGTCCAGCAACAGGTCTGCGATCTGAGGGTAGGACAGGTCCTGCAGCGCCACCTGCCAGCTGTAAGGTAACTTAAGCCACAGCTCTTCGGTGAAGAACTCCTGCAGAGGAACATTATTAGACTGGTTCGAGAACAGCTGCAGGATCGTAAACCCCGTAGGAACCACAAACCATGACAACCCCCGACCCTGGCAACGTATTTTGTCCTTAAGTGTTTTTTTTCATTCAGGCTTATATTCATTTTGAGTTCTTATTCCTCAGATTTGGTCATGAAAACAAACCATGTGATTGGCTGATACTCACTATGATGTAAGAGTCCAGTAAGTGTGTGTAGTGGGACAAAAACAAACATATGTTCGTCGCGAGGTTCCGCTGCTCGTCAGACGTCAAAGTCGACGGTAACATGTCACGTTTGTGGCGAAAACAGTATTTATTTCACTGTCTGCTAACGACTGGCGGTATACACATGGAAACTCCGCTCATACATTCAAGTCTGCCTCGGAATTTGCACGTCCAGGGAGTGAAAACTGTAAAATAATATTTTAATATAATAATTAAAATAATATTTTAGGATGAAGATTCACTTCATTAACATTTACACTTTACCTAATTATAAAAACAATCAACAGGTAAAAAGTGTAATCCATTTCTAAATAGTATATTTGCAATAAATATAATATGAATCCCACTATGTCCTTGTTTTCTTCCTTTCCTTAAATGCATCAGCAGTTTCTATGACCCGGAAGTGAATACGTCTGAGGTCAGGAGCATGTTGCAGCACCACAGGTCTGTTTCTTTCTCTCAATAACAAACGTGACAACTGTTTTATTTTTTATATTTAATTTTCACACAGACCATGGTCATGTGATCCAACCAATGACAAAATATGCGGAAACGTCATGTGTGTCCACCAATAAGAGTGTCGAAAGTTACATCCGGTTACTTTAGCACAACAGGGAGGAAAACCTCGTTTTCTGCCGCACTGTAGTCCATATAGAAATCTGTAAAGTAGCTCAGAGGGACACAGTAGTTGTTAATTATCATGTATTATTACTTACTATTAATTATCATAATATAGTGATGTTATTTAGCAATTACAAGGTGTGAAGTCGTGACTTCACTATTCGAAATCCATTGATCAGATAGACCTCAGTGATACAAACTGACCAGAGGAGGCAGCAGTAGCAGCTCCTGGGTTTCTCTGAACTTAAACATTATTTACCCTTTTCCTTGTGCACGTTGGATAAAGGTTTACAGTTCGCTCTGCATAAATAGTCTTGATTTCCACCCATTCTTCTCTGATTAGGAGTGATGTTAACGTTAACGTCTTTCTATCGTAGGGTGGTTCGACTTTTTCTAAACATCACCAGAAGATCTGACTGAGCAGAACTTCATCAACAGTACCTTTTAAGTATCATGTTTAACCACAACAGCAGAGGGCGCTCCCTTGAGGAAACCGTGTGGATAAATGGAAAAAAGAGAAAAAAGAGAGGGGGGAATCTGAAAGGGCAACAGAAAAACCACCAGGGGGCATGGTTGTCCACTCTGGATCCTGAAGTAGCGTCTTTGCAGCATCAACCTCCACCCAAGCCAGACACAACCGTGACTGCAGCTCCAGCACAGGCCTCGTCTTCTTTCTCTGAAACAGTGAACAGGAAATCCAGCAAACCTGAAACCCCGGTCACTTTAGGTCTGAATGGACCAATCTCAACCAAGATCCTGGCTTTGGACTGTGAGATGGTGGGGGCGGGGCCTAAAGGTCACATAAACCAACTGGCACGCTGCACCATCGTGTCGTATGAAGGCGATGTGGTTTACGATAAATTTATTAGACCCGCCCTCCCGGTTACCGACTATCGCACTCGATGGAGTGGGATCCGCCATTGTGACCTCATCAAGGCTACACCCTACATACAGGCACGCAAAGAGGTGAGAACTAAACAGAAGCTCAGAGACAGGATTGAACCAATGTCCTTCTGTTTTCTGAAAGACATTGAAATGAGTGTCAGCAGTGTTTGACCTCTGACTCCATCACTGTCACTGTCCCAATGTTTTTATTATCTGAGATCCTGAAGCTGCTCGTGGGTAAGGTTGTGATTGGACACGCCGTCCAAAACGATTTTAAGGTCCTGGGTTACGGTCACCCGGGGACTCTGACCAGAGACACGTCCCGGTGTCCTCTGATTAACCTGAAGGCTGGATTCACCCACAACCAGTGTGTGTCACTTAAAAGACTCACCAAAGCCATTTTCGACCGCGACATCCAGGTACCACGGCAACCTTCAATGTTTAACCCTTAGTCACAGAAGTTTAGGGTTGAAGGTGAGCGCCCCCTGCTGCAACAAGCAGCTAACAAACATGGCAGACATGGAAACAGCCAAGAAAAGATTTTTCAGTTTTAAGACACCGATGGAAATCAGTTTAGTTCCACCTTTTAGGTGAAGAAGTCAGACTGTTCCAGATTAACAACAGAAAAGCAGCTGATCCACCGCTGCCTCTAGTGGTCAGTTTATGTCCCAGAGGTAAATCTGAACAAAGGATTTCCGACAGCAGTTTAAAAAAACACATTTGAACTTAATGGTAGAGCCATCATTGGATTAACAACTGCTGTGAGTTTAAGTTTTTCTCTGTGGACTTTGGTGTGGGGGGATTGAGTGTCTGAGCAGTTGGACTTCCTGTTCTGAACCCCCACCTCTACCTCTGTTAGACAGGAAGGAAGGGTCACTCATCTGTGGAAGATGCCCGAGCCTCCATGGAGCTGTACAAGGTGGTGGAGCAGGAGTGGGAGAAGATGCTGGTCTCTAAACCTCAGTCCACATCGTCCTGAGGACCTGGACCTGGAGTCACAGACTGGGGGAAGTCAGACAAGAGACCTTCATCATCATCATCATCGGGTTCTTGGAGACATCAACCTGTCGATCCAGAACTTCAGAAATGATTGATGAATTGGAGACACATTTGATAAAAAAAAAAAAAAACTGGCCACCTGGGGGGGGGGGATCCAAATGATCTGAAACCACTTCCTGCTGCTGCTTTGCCTATTTGTAGGTAAATATTAACCAGCAGACATGGACTGAAGGTTCAGTCCCAGTTTGAACCTGGATCTTTTATGTCGGCTCCTCTATAAAGGTGTTCAACTCTGGTTCTGGTTTATATATTTTAAAAGTTCTTCTGACATGTGAGTAAAAAGGTTTGTTTAAAATGTCATTTATTTAAACATTTTACTGCCTTCATAAAGTCTACGGTCACAAGACCTGTTGTTGTTGTTCAGATGGATGGATGGATGGATGGATGGATGAAGATGGACGAGTTCTCATCCTAACAATCCTAACACTTGCTCTTCCTCCTTTTGTTGGAAGCTCCTTCACTTTCTGTGCCAAAGCATCATGGAAGTGGTGCACAATATCATTCTGGCTGTTTACATCATTTCCTTTCTGATTGGTCTGCCGGCCAACCTTCTGGCTCTCTACGCCTTCAGTGTGAAGATCTGCTCCAAGCCACAGCCGACCGACATCCTCCTCCTCAACCTGACGGTGTCCGACCTGCTCTTCCTCTTTGTCCTGCCCATGAAGATGCACGAGGCAGCGTCTGGCATGATCTGGACATTTCCGGCCGTCCTGTGCTCCATCACCTCCTTCATCTACTTCTCCACCATCTACTCCAGCTCCTTGTTGCTGATGGCCATCAGTGTGATTCGCTATGTGGGCGTGGCCTTCCCCATCTTCTATCTTCGGGTGCGGCGGCCGTTGTACGCTGTTGTCGCCAGCGCTGTGATCTGGCTGCTGTCCATGGGCCACTGCAGCATCACCATCATCATTGAGAACCATCCGTACTTCATGGAGAACTCCTCCCAGAACAACAGCAGCCGTTGCTACGATAACTTCCAGGAGAACCAGCTGAAGGTCCTGCTCCCTGTGCGGTTGGAGATGTTCCTTCTGCTCTGCCTCTTCTGCATTTACTGCTACTTGCATACCATCTGGATCCTGTCACACCGGACCAGCATCAGCCAAGCTCGGCGACGAAAGGCCATAGGAATGGCTCTGGGAACGCTGGCAGTATTCCTGGTCTGTGTGATTCCATACAACTTGTCTCATTTGGTGGGTTATGTTCAGAGACAGAGCCCGATATGGAGATACTACGTCCTGCTGCTGACCAGCCTCAACACCTGCATCGACCCCATCATCTTCTACTTCTCGTCCTCAGCCTTCCGCTGCACCAGTGCCAGGTCGGTCCTCAGGAGGAACCACCTCTGGCCTTTACCATCACAAAGGCCAGGAATGAATCCCAGCCAAAACATTCCTTAGATTTAATCCAGGTGTGAAGGTCACCTGGCCTGAGTGACCTCAGGGACCTGGGTTCCCCGGATATATATTTTTAAATGATTTTTGATTGTTTTAAAAGCTGAATCTAAAATGTCCAGTCAGGCTTCTGTAGCACACTCAGGCCCCGCCCCTTCTCCCACTTCCCAGTTAGTAGGTCCTGCTATGTTACTAACAGATGTTCTAATTACAGGGGTGTTGAATGGTGGAGGGGTGCTAAAGGGCGGGGCTTAAAGCTAAACTTTAGGTTGTGTTGATACTTTCATTTCCGTAATGTTCTTTTGGCATCAGGTGGACATACAGAGACAGACCTGGACGTGGTCCACGGTCCGTCTGTGATGTACTTTGTCACTCACTGCTAAAAATAAAAACCTTGAGTTACAGCCGTAAATGTGGGAATTAATTACAGAATTGAACTGTGGGTCAGAGAAGCAGTTCCAAAACAACACTGAGCAGGAGCAGTGAGAACAGACCGTGTTGATCAATGTCAGGGTTGAGGCCCTCGGATCAGTCCGGACCATCCAATCAGATCCTGGCTGCTCTGAGTTGTACTTACACGCCCTCTGATGGCACCAGAGGTCCAATGACAGACCACAGAGAGAAATGGTTCATCATCCAGGTCATTGTTGGTCGTTGGGTTTTGAGCAGCGAGTCCAAACCTGGACCAGGAAGTTCTGCATGATTACAGTGTACACAGGCAGGGCGAGCAAATTAGGTAGAGAGAGAGAGAGAGAGACATCAGTTTGTCACATTACTTTACATAAATGATTTGCATCAGTGAAAATAGTAACAGTGAGGAAACAGTTGCTTCATATTCAAATTCAATAGTTAAAAAAAAACCAAACAAATATCTGTTGACTTCTTCGTACAAATTTAAATTTACAGCTGCAGAAAAACTTCAGTAAAGACGAACAATTCTAACTTTGTTCTGAGGATAAAGACTAATAAATGTCCACTTTCTTAACAACTGTTAATGTGTCAACACTACTTGGTAGTGACACACACGCACACACACACAGGAAGAGCAGGAGTCCACAGAGGAGGAGGAGAACCAGGATACTGCAGGGGATTCCAGCAGCGACACCGGCCACAGCAGAACCACTCAGACCGTCACCTACTGTTAACAACACACGCTGCTGAAACAGAGGCTGGTCCTCAGTGAAAACACCGCTGCCTCCAGTGGTCAGTTTATGTCCCAGAGGTAAATCTGAACAAAGGATTTTCAACAGCGGTTGAAAAAAAAAAAACACATTTGATCTTAATGGTAGAGCCATTGGACTTCCTGTTCTGAACCCCCACCTCTACCTCTGTTAGACAGGAAGGAAGGGTCACTCATCTGTGGAAGATGCCCGAGCCTCCATGGAGCTGTACAAGGTGGTGGAGCAGGAGTGGGAGAAGATGCTGGTCTCTAAACCTCAGTCCACATCGTCCTGAGGACCTGGACCTGGAGTCACAGACTGGGGGAAGTCAAACAAGAGACCTTCATCATCATCATCATCATCATCATCATCGGGTTCTTGGAGACACTTTGATTTGGGTTACGGTCTTTTTTTCTGGACTCATCCAGAGATAAGGATTTGAATCCTGTCTGTCACTGAGCATTTGATTAAAAAAAACGGATTCCCCTGAGGGGGAGAGATCCATATGATCTGAAACCACTTCCTGCTGCTGCTTTGCCTATTTGTAGGTGAATATTAACCAGCACACATGGACTGAAGGTTCAGTCCCAGTTTGAACCTGGATCTTTTATGTCGGCTCCTCTATAAAGGTGTTCAACTCTGGTTCTGGTTTATATATTTTAAAAGTTCTTCTGACATGTGAGTAAAAAGGTTTGTTTAAAATGTCATTTATTTAAACATTTTACTGCCTTCGTAAAGTCTACGGTCACAAGACCTGTTGTTGTTGTTCAGATGAATGGATGGATGGATGGATGGATGGATGGATGGATGAAGATGGACGAGTTCTCATCCTAACACTTGCTCTTCCATCTCTTCCTCCTTTTGTTGGAAGCTCCTTCACTTTCTGTGCCAAAGCATCATGGAAGTGGTGCACAATATCATTCTGGCTGTTTACATCATTTCCTTTCTGATTGGTCTGCCGGCCAACCTTCTGGCTCTCTACGCCTTCAGTGTGAAGATCTGCTCCAAGCCACAGCCGACCGACATCCTCCTCCTCAACCTGACGGTGTCCGACCTGCTCTTCCTCTTTGTCCTGCCCATGAAGATGCACGAGGCAGCGTCTGGCATGATCTGGACATTTCCGGCCGTCCTGTGCTCCATCACCTCCTTCATCTACTTCTCCACCATCTACTCCAGCTCCTTGTTGCTGATGGCCATCAGTGTGATTCGCTATGTGGGCGTGGCCTTCCCCATCTTCTATCTTCGGGTGCGGCGGCCGTTGTACGCTGTTGTCGCCAGCGCTGTGATCTGGCTGCTGTCCATGGGCCACTGCAGCATCACCATCATCATTGAGAACCATCCGTACTTCATGGAGAACTCCTCCCAGAACAACAGCAGCCGTTGCTACGATAACTTCCAGGAGAACCAGCTGAAGGTCCTGCTCCCTGTGCGGTTGGAGATGTTCCTTCTGCTCTGCCTCTTTCCTCTGCTGCTCTGCATTTACTGCTACTTGCATACCATCTGGATCCTGTCACACCGGACCAGCATTGACCTAGCTCGGCGACGAAAGGCCATAGGAATGGCTCTGGGAACGCTGGCAGTATTCCTGGTCTGTATGATTCCATACAACTTGTCTCATGTGGTGGGTTATGTTCAGAGACAGAGCCCGATATGGAGATACTACGTCCTGCTGCTGACCAGCCTCAACACCTGCATCGACCCCATCATCTTCTACTTCTCGTCCTCAGCCTTCCGCTGCACCAGTGCCAGGTCGGTCCTCAGGAGGAACCACCTCTGGCCTTTATCATCACAAATGCCAGAATCAGTTTTCAGCCAAAACGTTCCTTAGATTTAATCCAGGTGTGAAGGTCACCTGGCCTGAGTGACCTCAGGGACCTGGTTTCCCCGGATATATATTTTTAAATGATTTTGATTGTTTTAAAAGCTGAATCTAAAATGTCCAGTCAGGCTTCTGTAGCACACTCAGGCCCCGCCCCTTCTCCCACTTCCCAGTTAGTAGGTCCTGCTATGTTACTAACAGATGTTCTAATTACAGGGGTGTTGAATGGTGGAGGGGTGCTAAAGGGCGGGGCTTAAAGCTAAACTTTAGGTTGTGTTGATACTTTCATTTCCGTAATGTTCTTTTGGCATCAGGTGTACTTTGTCACTCACACACAGTACACAGGCAGGGCGAGCAAATTAGAGAGAGAGAGAGCGAGAGAGAGAGACATCAGTTTGTCACATTACTTTACATAAATGATTTGCATCAGTAAAAATAATACCATAACAGTGAGGATAAAGTTGCTTCATATTCAAAAAAACAAAAAACAAATATCTGTTGACTTCTCTGTAAACATTCAAATTTACAGCTGCAGAGAAACAGAGAAACTTCAGTAAAGATGAACGATTCTAAGCTTAGATGCACAATGACTTTAATTCCATAGAGAGAGGCAGAATCTGCTGCTTAACAACCAGAGATTTAATGTTTAATTTATTTAATTTAATTTGTTTTTTTTTAAATATTTTTATGAAATGTAAAGATTTTTAAAGTTTCGTGTAAATCATATTCACAAAAGTCATACAAACCAATATAAAAGATTACAGTAAAGAAAAGTGTAAAAACAGTAAAACAGGAAGTTCAGACCGTTGTAGCAACTCTGACAGGAAGTGGAGGGACAAATGTGGGCGGGGCTAGTGACAGATCCGACGCAGCCTGGAAACAGAAAAAAGGCAGCCATTAAAAAAGTGAGGATGTTCCCTGTGACTGTGGTTCAGAGCAGGAACGACAAACACACCTGATGTAATCGGTTATAATCTGGAGGAAATTTGAATCCAGCCGTTCTTAACTGATGAGCAGACGTGTCGGTGGGAGCAGTGATGGTCTGTGGAAGAAGACGTGATGTAGAAAATGAGAACTTTACCTTCAGAATCTGGAGTGGTATCTGGTTTTTAAATAAAACATTGAAATAAAAACGTTTTAATTCTGGGACATAATAAATAAAACCCCAGAAAATGAAGGCGTGTCCAAGGTCAAGAGAAGAGGAAAGGTTGTGTTCATGTTGTGCTCCACACCTTCTCCACAGCTCTGGACACTGGATATCTGGCCTGTCGACCTGCAGAACCAAACACAGTAAGACTGAAGACCTTCATTTGAGGACCATAAGGACTTGGTTCTGGTCTGGTGACGACCCACTTTTGTTGTTGTTGCAGTAGAACCAGAGGAAGAGCAGGAGTCCACAGAGGAGGAGGAGAACCAGGATACTGCAGGGGATTCCAGCAGCGATACCGGCCACAGCAGAACCACTCAGACCGTCACCTACTTATAACAACACACGCTGCTGAAACAGAGGCTGGTCCTCAGTGAAAACACTGCTGCTGAGTGAATGTTAGCCACAAAGAAGAAGTCTGAGCTCAAGTACTCAAATAAAACTGCTTCATCTGACTGTTAGACAGGAGCCGGACTTTAACAGACCAAAGTCCATGGAGAAAATCAGTGATTTTAGATCAGAGGAGCTGCTGGTCCACTACTGTCTCTTGTGGTCAGTTTGCATCTGAACACTGAACTGTTGCTGATTCCTGGTCTTGATAACATCACCAGTTTCCTCTTCAGATTTCAAATCTTTCAGCTAAAATCACTAATTCTTTCATGGACTCTGGTCTGTGGCTCAGTTTCCTGTCAGAAAAGCCTAAACACAACAATCCATCCAGTTTAGATTGTATTGTTCCAGGCCAGTGAAGTTGTGGTAGTTATCAAAGATCTGCAGATACAGCACCTGGACCGATCCTGTGGACTTCAGACGGTTCTCCTTCAGTGGTCCGAGCTTTGGGAATGACCCTGAAACGGTATGTCCTCTTTGGGTCGAGGTTAGAGATATCTGCGCTGCGAGCAGAACCGGGTTTCCGTAGGATGGTGTAGTAGTCGTTTGACGAACCTGGGCCGACGATTAGATTTTGACCTGGTATTTTTGGGCCTTTCATTTGGACGTCAAAGCCTTTAGAGAAAAATAAGAAACAGGATTTGTCTGATTTCATTTCCTCGTCTTTTTTTTTTTTTTAATAGTCTGTGTGAACAAAAGCGTCTCTGTTTCCTGTCATACCTGTGACCACGGCGTTGGGCGGGACTTCCCAGGTCAACGTGAGCACACTTCCATCAGGATTAGGGAACAGACTGGAAGCTGAGATGGTCGGACCTGGGGAGTGGGGAGGGGAGGCGGGGGGGGGGAATGTAAGACAGAGCTCTGTGTTAGGAAAAGAGCAAAGTCATTTTCTCTCTGACGATCCACTGTGTGTGTGTGAGTGAGTGTGTCATTTAATCCTAATCTGCACATTCTGACACACATACAGTAGAGAAAGTGTCGCTGATGAAAACCTGGACTAATTTTTGAACAAAAGTAGCTAAAGGTTAGCTGGTACCAACCAGGTCACTCACATACACACAGAAATACAAACTCCATGTAGAAACATCATCAGTTAGAGCTGGGGCACGAACCACTGACCATTTTGATGTAAAGCAAGACTGCTCATGCCACCAAATTAAAAAAAACAAAAAACAAAAAACGGTATTATCCTAAACATTTAAGTTACCTAGAAGCTGCACCTCCCTCTTCTGGCTGCCCAGAGGATTGCGGCAGGAGCAGGTGTATGTCTGCTGCAGCAGGTCACTGACGTTGTAGGATCTAATCTGGAGACGAAGGCCGTCGTCACTGATGTGGGAATTTGTCCCATTGGTGATGACCTCAGTGCCTCTGGTCCATGACATCACTGGTGTGGGCGTGGCCTGGCACAGGCAGTCAACAGTCACCTGGATTCTGCCTACATTATCAACGGTGGTTGTGACAGTCGGCAGGAAGTTCAGAGGAGAAACTGAGGAAACCAGAAGGTGGAGGAGGAAGAGGAGGAAGAGGAGAAGAAGAAGAAGATTTTCTGACCAATTTCCAAGTGTGATTTTTTTTTCTGACCCTAAACCTTTTCTGTCCTGAATTAAAGAAGACATTTTTGAAACGGACCTGCGGTGGCGCTGCAGCTGCTGTTCTGGACCGGATGGACCGCCAAACATGTGACCGGGTTCCCGTTCAGATCATCGGAGGCAGCGAGGGTCAAACCAAAGATTCCTGATCCAACAATGCTGACGTTAAAACTGGTGCTCTGTGCTTGGAAAGACAGCTGGGCCCAAGGAATGCCCCCTGTCCACTCACACAGGTACTGCAGATCCACGTGATCATTGGCTGAACGTACTGAGCAAGACGCTTCACCGGGAGGTTTCTCTGGTCGGGAAACAAAACATGTCCAGTGGTTTTACACAACGCTGCTTTGACATTTTGAACAGTTTTTTTTTACAATCCTCAACAAAAAAGACAAAGTTTTTAAAGTTAAAGTTTTGCATTTGCTAAAGAGTTACATTTAAACCAAAAGGAAACAAATCAAAATTGGTCGTTAAGAATGAGTGTTTAAAGCAGCAGCTAAAAAAAAGGCCACAAGAAAGAGAACAACTGAGATCGAACTGAAACCCTGAGACTTCCACATACCATACACCTTTATGGTCAAACTCTTGTCACTGGTTCTCCCTGTGTGGGGGTTGGTGACGGTGCAGGTGTAAAGGCCTCCATCACTGCTCTGCAGGTGTGTCCGGTTCAAGACTCCACTCTCTGACTCAGACACAGTCTGACCTTTAAAGTTCCAGTGGACGGTCGGTGGTGGGAAACCGTCGGCCCAACACCTGAGGCTGAAGGCGTCGCCTGGTATGAAGAAGGGTGGAGATGGTTGAAGCTGCAGTGTGGGCTCGTCTGGTCCATCTGACCATGGGCGGGATTATGGAAACATGTGAAACAAACGGAGCATGAAGTTAGTAGAGGAATATTAGGCTCATGGTTTGTAGCAGTAAATATTTCCAGGTCTGGGTCATCATCATCTGCGGTTGATTGTGATTGGTTCCTGTCTTACACAGCACAGTGACGTTGAGGTGGGCGTCTGCTTGGCTGAAGGGGTTGGTCAGCCTCACAGAGTACTGTCCAGTGTCCTGACGGGTCGGATCGTGGACCACCAGGTTCTTCTGGTCCAAGGAATAATGAGAGTTGGTCAGGAAGATCTGTGAGCCGTTGAAGAACCAGGTCTGCTGCTCCACCACTCCTGCTGACATGCTGTAGACCAGACTGAAACTCTCAGTGTCGCCCTCAGACACCGGGTCAGGTCTCAACAAAAGCGACACCTCCTGGAAGATTTCTGTCAAGCAGAAAACAGGAAGTGGTTCAACCCAAACCTAGAATTTATAAAAACACATTTCTCATGCAACAAAAAAATTGTGGAAAAAAAAACAACACAAAACAAAAAAACAAAACCATGAAGAATTTTAGAATGTCTTCTCAAAGAGACTCACCGAACACAGTCAGAGTGAAAGTGCTCTCAGCTTTGTCCAGTCCAGACTTGGTCAGTTCCACTTTGTAGTTTCCACCGTAGTTCAGCGGAACATTGACGAACTTTAATGAACCCTCTCCCTCAATCTCCAGCACCCCCCTGTGGTCAACAGCCACATCAGGGGCCTCCCCAGAGCCCACGGTCCACGTCAGGACTGGAAGGTCTTCTCGGAACCAGGTGACCACCGGGTCGGGGGCTCCACTGAAAGTCATGCTCAAGGTCACATTAGAGCCCACCTGAGCTTTGACCTGAGGGTCAAGAGAAAAAATCTGGAGTCTGCAGAGGGCGCCTGTGAGAGGTAAGTAAAACAAAGGACAAGCGTGTGAATGAAATCAACAAAGAGTTAAAGTCAGCCCCACCCCCCCTCAAAAAAAGAAAACAATAAGTAGGAAAAAAGGGAAAAGTGTAACTAAAGTTACACCAAAGTAAAGCTATTTAAAAGTTTTGAGAAAATGTCAACGTCAGACAATTATTTATTACAAATAGCTTTGATGTGACCAATTTGACAAAAGTGCCGTGATGTGTTGAAAACCTCTGATCGTTTGCCAAAAAAAGTGTTACACAGAAATAAAGGTTGTTAAAAAAATAACTGAGGAGCTGAAGCTGTTACAATAAAGCTTGTAAAGAAAATAACTGAGGAGCTGAAGCTGTTACAGCAAATGTTACGGTTTGTTTTAAAAGGAAGGTCACTGTTTTTCTTAAAAAAAAGATTTTGACTTCAACCCATTCTTCCTCCAAAATAGCAAACATACTCACCAGCCTGAGAATAAAAGATGAAAAATGTTGACTTACCTCGAAGTGAAAAGTTGAATAAAATGAGTGAGAAAAATGTCCTGAACTTATTCATGTCAGAACCAACAGATGAAAAACTCTAGACGACAGTCTTTAAAGAAAATTCACAGGGTCAGTTTCTGTAGTTCCAGGAAAAGACGGGAAAAATGACCTTGATGGAGTCGCTGAAGATCCTGAGTCAGCTGAGGCCACGCCCACCACCTTACTCTCACTGTGTATACTCTAAACAGTGAGACACACACACAGGATTTACAAGCTTTCATCTGGACCAGGACCAGAAACCAGCTGCTCACCTTGTCCTCACCCACATTCAAAAACACAGACCTGTCCTAAATTTGACCGACAGTTAATCCAGATTATTTACAGATTAATGGACAGTGAAGAGAAAAATGTCTGGACACGAAACTTGAGCTGCTTTGTTCTGCTCCTGCGTGGAGACAGATTCAGTTTCTAATAAAAAAAACCCCAACAATTTTAGCTTCAGACCAGGTCGACACCAAGAACAGACCTCCAGGGAAACCCTGTAGAGACAGCAGCAGTGAAGAGTGTTGTTTATTTCTGATAAGTATCTGTACAGTCAGCAGAAAAGTAAGGAACTGATGATCACATTTCAGAGCAGTCATCACGGTGGCTGCTCGATACTGACACGCTGTCCGTGCAACTGCAGCGCCACCAACATGTGTAAAGAGGTAATGGTAATCATCATCATCATCATCTTCATCTCTACAAACGTCAGCTCTGTCAGTTTTTCAGGTACAAACGGCTGCAGTGATAAAAAAGAAGAAAATTCTGATTTTCATAGATCAATGATTGGTTCTAACCTCGATGGGACAAACATGAGTCACATAAAGGAACAGTTTAGGGTTTTGAACATGTGTTTGTGTGCAGAACTACTGTTAGCATTATCAGTGAAAACTGATCTGATGAAATCAAGTCTAGCTGTTGGTCCACTGCTGCCTCCAACTCAAACTAAGTTTGTTTAATTTAATGTTTGAGTTTTTTTTCTTTTTCAGCTTGACCTCAGTGACACAAACTGACCAGAGGAGGCAGCAGTGGACCAACAGCCAATGAGTCTCTGTGAGCTAGAGTCACTGGACTTGGTGTTGGACAGCGAGTGGTTTAGAAACATTACTGTTGTTAAAGTCACAGACACAAACAGGCGATAAAGACAGACAACATTCAGACATGGAGTTGGTCCGGACCTCAGTCACCTGGTCACATGACTGCGGTCAGTCCAGGTCTAAAACAGTCCAAGTGTGTCTGACAAGTAATGCCATTCAACCTGAGTGAACACTGGCACCAAAACCAGCCGAGGACTCTGTATCAGAACCTCAGACAAGCACACGTTTAAATCTAAAAGTGTTCTGTTAAAGAGCCAGGAGGGAGCAGCAGATGGCGCTGAAGCTGCAGTAGTCTTGGTCGTCAGTCATCAGTCCAGGTCCTGTAGAGAAATACAGACAGTTGCGGTGTGGGGGTCTCCTATGAGTGGATCCAGAGCAGAGTTAATCCTCACCCTCCCTCTGCTGTTGGAGCCAGTGGTCACTGCCCCCTCTATATCCTGCCACACTCCCTCAGTTTGGACACCAGGTCGTCCACCGTCTCCACCTTCACGCCGGCCTGCCTCTGTGGAGGCTCGTCCACTCTCAGCACCTGCAGACGTGACGTCAGGTCCACTCCCAGATCTGAGGGCTTCACCTGAGTGATCTTCTTCTTCTTGGCTTTCTGAGGAAGAAGAAGAAGAAAACGTCAGACAATCTCCAGACTTTTTAAAACTGAGATTGTATTTTCTTGTAAAATCTACAACCCACAATCCCTTGCAACTGACCATGATGTTGGGCAGTGTGGCATATCTGGGTGTGTTGAGTCTGAGGTCGGCCGTCAGCACCGCAGGTAAGTTGATTTTTATGGTTTCCAGTCCACCGTCGATCTCCCTCACCACCTTCAGCTTCTCTCCTTCCACTGTCACCTCTGATGCAAAAGTGCCCTGAAACATAAAATCACCACCAGGGGGCACTCATTAACACCACAGCACATACTAATCAGTAAAGTTAATCTGAAGTCAGTAAACAGTAAACCTTATTTCTATTGTTTGTTTTTCATTTTTCTCAGATTAAAGTTAGGACTCTGGAAAAAAAATGGCTGCATAAAAAGGTCCAATAGCTCCATCTACTGGCGAGTTAGGAGAACTAACTAGAGACATCAGCATCAGTGTCGCCTCCTGCTGATGGTGAAGGTTACTGACCTGAGGCCAATCCAGTAAGGCTGCTGTCATCTGTCCAGTCTGATTACAGTCGTCATCAATGGCCTAGGACACAGACACACGAGTCAGTAGTGTCAGAGCAGCAGCTGCCATCAACTGAGCTCAACGTAGTATCAAAATGGAACCGGTTCCAGGTTCCGTCCTCACCTGCTTTCCCAGAATAAGTAGCTGAGCCTCCTCCTTCTTGGCTAAAGCGGCCATGATCTTAGAGACCTGCAAAGGGCCCAGGCTCTCGTAGTCTTTGCCACTGACCTCCACATGGATGCCCCGGTCTGCTCCCATGGCCAGAGCCGTACGGATCGTCTCCTGATGTACAGACAGAGGTTCAAATATGTATATATATTTGTCTTATATTTAGGTATGTTGACTTAGATGGATTACTCCAAATTCAAATGTCTGTTTTGTCTTAGTTTAAACCTACTCAAATTCTTTAGAGGACAGATTTTTAATCCTCTTTAGTCTGTGATTCTTTTTTTTTTACAAAAAGATTAGAGAACGATATGGGAGTTGTTACAGTTGTAGGTTCAATAACCAAGTGCTATTTAGGTGCACTTCATTTTATTTAATTAAGTTTATTTATTTATTAAGTCAATAATGGTACTGCCCTTGGGTACTCAGGTGCGGAAGTCCCCGAATTGCAAAGTCTCTTTACAGCCCAGGCCGTAAAGTTTAAAAGACCAGTGTTACCTGAACCTGCTGTGGTCCACAGCTGACAGCAACCACCTCCTTCACCAGTTTCTTCTCCTTCAGCTTCACTGCCTCCTCCACAGCAATTTCACAGAAAGGGTTCATCGAGTGCTTCACGCCATCTGTCACCACACCGCTGTTGTCTGGCTTCACGCGGATCTGGAAGAGACACATAGTGTTTTATTAGTTCCCATTTCATTTGGTTCTGGTTCATGCTCGGGTGCCACAGCTTTTTAATTTTTCTAAAGGGACTACTACTAGTCTTTCTAGTGTTTTTTCTTCTGACATAAACTGAGATGCAGTTCCTATAAATAATTTTATCCCATTAAACACGATTCACACACGATGTATTTCCTCGTAAAAAAAATAGACTGCTGACAACTGAAGCTAAAAGTACTTGGGCAGTGACAGCGGTCAGATCCAGCTGAGTGCAGCTGCAGCAGGAACTTTCTAGCTGATAAAACAAACAACGACGCACGCGAAACCGATTCAACCGGTGTTACCTTAGTTTCAGAGAAAAACACGGAAAACTAAAAACATATATTTCTGCCTGGTAAATGGCAGTTTCGAGCCGTTAGCCACTAAAGACACTAAGACCGAACACGGCAAGACGTCGTTAGTCACAACAACTTTTACCCAGAGCTTCAAACTATTTACCTTGGGTTAATGTGTGCGTGCGTGTGCGTGTGTCAGACTTTGTGACAGTATACGTTAGGAGGCTACAGCTAGCAGAGAAAGCATAGTCCAGTAAGAGTTGCGGACGTTATGTGGCAAATAGCAAAATGCAGGTACTTTAATAAGTAAAACGTTAAAAAACAAAAATACTTTTTCTTACCTTGACTGCATAATCTATAACGCGCTTCACCCCAACGAGCACGCGTCCAGACATGGTGAAGGTTTGAAAGTGACACAGAGGAGAAACTCCAGCTAGGCCGGACACGTTTTAGTGAAACACCAAAAACAGGAAACAGATAATCCTGCCCGCTACTAAACTCTCTACTCTGATTGGGTGAGCTGCGTTGTTAAATCCACCGTTTGGGTAAAAAAAACAACAACGATATTTCAAAGTTATTTTTCAAAGGCATCGCGCGTAAATATTTTAACAACCAAAATAACACAATTAAAAAAGTTAAATATAAAATACCTTGACGTTTACCAGTAAACTACGACCATTTATAATAAGTAAGCCAAGTGGTGCACCATATCAATATGTCTTAAACGACTAAAACAAGAAAGGTTCCACTTTACAACAGGATAAGGTGGAAGTTAAAAAAAGAAAGAAAAAAACAAATTCATTAATTAATAAAAAGAGAAATACATAGGTAAATACACGAATTAATTAATAAACGCCTGCCTCAAAATCATCAGTAGCTCTTCCCAAATATTTTTCTCACCCTCCCACACTTTTTCTCCTCCTCCCTCTTGTCACATGACCCGGGTGTTTGTCCTCGTGATCAGCTCTTTTTTCTACTCTTGTTTTTGTTTCTTTTCTCGGTTTTTGACTGAGTGCAAATCATTTTAATCCTGACCCTAATGGATTTACTGACCCACAATCTGGACACGAACAGGTATCACAGACACTCACTCACGGACACTGCTTCGGGCTCACAGGCTAACAGCTGTTTACAGCAGCCGCAGGAAACTACTAAAGTGTAGGCGAGTTTACAGGAGGAAAATTACTGACGTCTCTGAAAACTGTGCTGCCGTTTTAGTGAAATAATTCCAAGGAGTTCGAAAGTCTACGTTGAACCTGGTGATTAAAAATGGTGGCGATGATGACGATTGCTGTGACGATAGAAGAAACGACAAGGATGAAGATGATAATGATATGATGGTTTTTAGTGACGTTAACTGATGATGTTGAGGACGATGATGATCATTTGCTTGATTAATACATCTTAGCTTTAGTGCTATTTAACTGTATGAGTAATTAGAACTGTAATGAACTCTACCATTATTAAGGTATCCTTCATTTTAAGTGCCTATCTATGTCCCTCCCCTTGAGATCACGTCAGTATTTTCTGTCTTTTCTAATTGATGTACAGTCAGGAAAAGCAGGAAGAAGTGGAGGAAGAAGTGGAGGGACCTGAAGGTGAGAGAAGAGCTCTATCCAGTGACACATTCATTCATATTAAGTCACTTTCTATGTTTTTCTTTTCTTTTTCACAATCATTTCTTAAGGTTTTGGAAAACCATCATTCAACTCAGAACTCAGGAATAAACTTACAAATTACAGAATTAGCTTTTTCTTGGTTATCAATTAGCTTTTTTGGCGTATTTTATTTTACATTGTTTTAGGTAAGTTTAGTGATCTCACAGCTGATTATCCGCTATTTTTTTAAAGAAAATATGACTAATAATTGTCTATGTTGACTTGTCCTTTGGGTAATAAAAATCTTTTACTTGGATAACTAACAAAACTTATGTGGGACAGCGGGTCCGACACAGGGCCACTCAGACAAAAAGTTCCTCTGTGCCTCTGTCTCCCTCTGCTGGAGACAGATTGATCTGTATCTGTTCGTGTCATCTGTTCACGCAGAGCAACAAGAGGACGTGTCCATCAGCAGTTTCCATCAGTCTGCAGCTTTTCCTGAGAACAACGTCCAGTATCAGTTCCACAGTGAAGGTCAGGTGAGTACAGTAGGTCAGATACGTGTGAACGTCCTCCATCTCTGTCCGCCACGTCCCAAACAGGTTCAATATGGACAAAGACGCAGGGCCACTGGCTGCGCTACAGGAAGATTTTCCTCTCAGAAAAAAGTCAAGTCTGTTGGGACTATTTTAAAATTGTGTGTGTGTGTGTGAGGGAGAGAGAGAGAGACACAGAGAGAGAGCGAGACACACACGTGGATGAGTGTCACATGTCAGTCAGGAGGAGGAGCAGAGAAACTCAATGAAATCATTTTCCTGCTCTTAAATTGGAATCAGGTGATTTCTTGTGTCCAGAGCCTGAAGCCTTAGGAGCTCAGCAGCTATGGGCTCTGTTCCTGCTCTGACAGACACTAAAGCTGGAGAAATCATCTACAGAGCAGCTGCTCAGGTTGGACAGGAAGTGACGTCATCACTGCCTCAACAGTGACTGCTGTCTTTAAATGTTCTGACCTTGTGTCTCTGCCTGTAGGGACTGTTTCTCTGTGAAAAAAAACAAACTTTTTTTGCTGTGCCTTATGCAGGTAACGTACCACGTGGTCCAGGTGACGGAGGAGCACCTGGAGGGCAGACGTGAAGGGGGCAGAGCTGGGGGCGGAGCCGTGAGCGTGGCCTTCAGCGCAGCTCCACAGGCGGTGGCTCAGGTACGTCATTTCACAAAGTTACTTCAGGAACTTCTTTGTCCACGCTGCAGTTATTGAAGGTTTACTGTCAGAGGGACAGCTGAACCATCTGACCCAGACCACAGACCACGATCCTTGTCTCTGTCTCAGGCCGTTATTCAGAACTCCTACAGTAATGGAGGAAGTCCAGCAGGAGACGCTACAGGAGGTGAGACACGCTTCGCTTATTACCCAGCCTCCAAAGCAGCGACGGCAGTGGTGAGTGAAGGAAGTGTTTCTCTGCAGACTGGGACGGGTTCAGGTTCTGGCTCTGGTTCTGATCCAACGCTCGCACAGGCTGGAGGTGGGTTTGGACCGAAGTACTGTTGAACTTCTTCTTTGAACTCTGCGAGACAGGATTACAGATTAGCGTAACAGCGTGATCCAAACACAAGCTATAATTCAAATATAACTTTGTGATTAGACAGAAAGAAAACAAATACAAACCAAACATATACAGTACATAAAAAAACTGTGTGTGTGTGTGTTTACAGGGCAGTTATATGTGATGATGGCACCGTCTAACGTCACTCAGACAGGAACAACACGCAGCATCGCTCCACAGACACCGTCCTATTCTGTGTGAGTCATGCGTCTGATTTTTATCATCAGATTTACGTCCACCTCCTGCAGGTGTCACTGTTGTTCTTCACAACTCAGTCGTCTCCAAAACAAAGTTGTAGCTGCAGCTGTACTGCACAGTCACACACTGATGATCAAACATTCAACGTGATGGATTTCTTTTTTTGTTTGTTCACAGAAAAATGGACGGAACACGAGCACCAAGAGACGACAGAAGAAGAGCCCAGCATAACGAAGGTGAGTTGTCACTGAAGAGGGTCATGATGATGATGATGAAGATGACGAAGGCAATGACGAGGATGACGATAATAGCAGCTTTACTCAGTGATGGACTGTCACAAATCACAGAATAGATTAACATTGATGTTTAAACTCCAGTGTCCAGCAGAGGAACGTAGGGAACGTTTTAGACAATTACGAAATATGAAAAAAAACAAAAACAAGATAAAACAGGTGAATATTCCGGTTGTATAATCTGATCCAGGTGAATATTCCGGTTGTATAATCTGTTTAAATGATGTAGATGGATATCCAGAAGAATACTCCAGGGTATAATATTCCAGTCTCTCATGTTCACTTTTTGTCTTTTTCTTCTTTAGTGGAAAGACGGCGTAGAGACAGAATCAACAACTGGATTGTCACCTTGTCCAACATAATCCCAGGCTGCAGCGTAGACAGTACCAAGACTGGAGCGGTAAATTTTGTGAGCCTAGATCTGATTTGTCAAGCACCGAGTGTGTGTGTGTGTGTGTGTGTACATATGTGTGTTTATGTTTACTTGTGTATGCGTGTGAGATTGGAAGTGTAATCCTCGTGTTGTTTGACATTTCATTTCACTGATTAAAGGTGTAGTCTGGACGTTGTTATGAACAACGCTGTAATGAGAAATATGATGGTGTTTCCCAGAGTAAAGGTGGAATCCTGTCGAAGGCGTGCGACTACATCAGGGAGCTGCGGCAGAGTAACCAGCGCCTGCAGGAGAGTTTCAAGGAGGTGGAGAGGATTCAGGTGGAGAATCAGATGTGTCAGCAGCAGGTAGCTCCGCCCACATCACAATGATGTCACAGCTCTGTCAGACATAATCAGCTGTCAACCTGTTGAGAATTTCAGCCATGTGTCTCAGACTGCGTGTGCACCAGCAGGTGGAGCTCTCAGCTCAGTCACAGCAGTAACATAGTTGTTTGCCGTTGTGTTGTGCTCACAGATTGAGGAGCTGAAAAGTGAGAACGTTCTGCTACGAGCTCAGCTGCAGCAGCACGGCATCGAAGCTCACGCCACCACGACGCAACAATGCTGAGGGGAGGAGCCTGTCAGAGACGAAGCCTCGCCACCTTTTACGTCTGAACTGTTGAAAGACTGTCACGTGCACAGCCTTCACCAGGGTTCATGTGGATCCCCCACCCCCGACCCTCCCCCCCCAAAAAAACCCAAAACAACTTATTCCCCCCACCACCGACCCTCCCCCAAAAAAACCCAAAACAACTTATTTTTCCATTGTCTTTGATTTCTCTTCAAACTTGGAGTAGCTCAATGTGTTCATCAGGTTTAATTTATTTGACTGTTACACACACACACACACACTCACACACACACACAGCTGATTGATGTAAATATGCAGAGTGAGTAATAATTTAAAAGAAATGATGCTATCAGTTTAATTTGATTTGATTTTTATCAACGTGTGAGGTAAAACATTTAAAGCCCATTTGTCAACATAAGGGCTGTGGACCCAAATCTGGTCCCCGATCAGCTCCATGTGGTTCTGGAAATCAATGTTCACGGCTGAACCACGCAAAGTCCAGGCTGGACTCGGGTAAAACCAACATCCTGAATCCAGAAGTGGAGCGGCTGAGCCACGGAGCATCGCTCCAGCAGACCCAGATTCTGGTCTTTCTTCTGAACTTCTGAGGCTGAAGTCCATCTTGGACTGTAGGTCTTTGCTGGACTTTAGATTTTACAGGGCTTCACTGATTATTATAGCAAATATTTAACATTTATTTTGCTCCAATTAAAGTTAATTAAAGCTGCCGATGATCACTGACTTCATTTCCTGTCTTTCTAAGATCTGTCCTGCCTCTCCAAGCTTCCTGCAGCAACAGCTCCATCAGGGACAGCATGTCCTGCTCAAGTGGAAAGTCTGACTAAGAATTTTAGAACCTTCTCCAGAGCAGGTTTCTCCTAAAATCTGATCATCATGAAAGATTAGAAGCTCCAAATAGAGCAGGTCTTTCTTCTCTGAGGCTGAAGAACCTGCAGGCTGACGCTAATGTGATTCAGATTCATGGAACACGGACTCCTCACTAAAGCCCGGAGAGTTCCTCATCACTGTCTCTGAGTCTGAGCGCATGGGAGTGAATTTAAAGACGAGTTAAGAGTCTGAGTTTGAGTGTGAACTAAATCAAAGGTTTGCTGAAGTTCAGGAGCGTCACTAATGTTCTGATGTCTGCTGTGAGCAGACATCGAGGCGTCGCTTTTGTTTGTCGAAGCTGATCTCTGATCCCGTGTTCATGTCAAACTCAGACTCAACCTCTGTCTCTGTTTTCACCACTGGAAAGGAAAAAGAAATCTGAACAACAGAAATGTTTTTAACACCTTTAGTCATAGGTAATTACGAAGTCCGTATTCTCAGTCTTCCTTTTGTAATTGAGTTCGATTTTTCAGGGGGAAACTTGTCTGGGAAAAATAGAGCCAGTAGGTGGCACTCACCTATGGACTAAACTAAGAAACAAACCCACGACACAGTTCAGCCACAGCTGCCACATCATGGACATCAAAAGCATCAATGATAACTTCATAAAATGACAATATTATTAAAAAAAACATCAATGATTGTGAACTTCATAAAATGACAATATTATTAAAATAACAAAATGCATTTTACTCACCAATTCTCTGATTATTTGACCATGAAATCCACCCGTGACCAGCAGAGGGCCTCACTGGCCTTGACGGTTACCCTCTGGTTAAAAGCCTCACCTGTTGGAGAGTGGAGGAGAGTAACACACACTGTATTTGAACCAGACCTGTGTATTGTATACATGAATGTACAGTCACTTTAAACTGCACTTCACATGTGCCTCTGTGACACAAAGTGTCCACAGGGGGCAGCAGAAGACCCACAAACTTGTTTTCATGCGAGCTAAAACCGCAGATGGGCTTTGGTGCAGGGTAGTCTGTGATTTATGGATCTCAGGCTGATTTTTATTAAAGAAAAACGTCGAAACAAACATTTGAAGAAGAATTAGAAGCTAAATGAAAAAATCCTCAGGATTGGTGAAGCAGTTTGGTCCTAAACTAAAAACTGACCTATTCTCCACAGGAGTCCATGTCATTCTCCATCAGGGCTGATTCCTGAACCTCTGCATGTTGAGGTTCCTGGAAACACACAAACACAAGCCTGCAGGAACATATACACAGGAATTCCCCTGAGTCAGAAAGCAGAAGACCTTCTGCCTGACCTCTATACACCCTGTGTCTGAACGAATGGTTACATCGGCCCCAGAGACGTTGACATTTTACGTGTCATTAAACAAAAAATTAACTGGAAACAGATAAAACACAAAAGGTTCCAGAGCTCTGGTTCCTCCTGGTGCTGCACTTGAACAGATGGAGGACATGAAGACACAGCTCACAAACAGAGAGACACTGTATGATGTTGACAGAGGAGGCCAAGGTCATTGACCCCGATGCAGCAGGAAAAAGGTAAGGTGGCGCCGTTGAGGTGAATGTGTCTGTCCTTGTGGAGCCCGTCTCTGTTTGGACAGAGATTAGTGATTGCAGATTATCCCGTCTCACTTTCTGCTCCTTTCAAACAAACCAAAATGATGAAAAAGACAAAGTCATTCTCCTGATGGACAGACTGGAATTTCCAAAGTGTCATGAACATGCCCGACGTCCACGCGCTCAGACATGCACTCTTTATCTGTGTGGAAGTTTCTACACCAACTCTGAGGATGAAAAAGAACAAAAAGGTTTGACTTAAAACAATTACAAACAATCAGAAATAAATATACAATCATAAAAAAAACATTTATTTTCTGCCCAGGTGTTCACCTGATGAACCAGGAAAATAATCCATTTAATTGATCTAATAAACAGATGTTTGTTTACTTCAAAAATGTGTTGTTTGTCTGTGTGACAGTTAAAGACAAAACAGCAGATGGATATACAACAAATAAAAAAAGGAGCGCAACTCAGAGCTCTTTAAGACCTCCATGTCTTTCTTCAATTCCTTAAAGTCTAACCACATTGTGTTCCACTAAATAGACCAGGGTTTCACAGTGCAAGTCTGAAACTAAAAGATTTATAATATATTTCAATTAAATATATTGTGACATTGGATTTTTTTTTTTCCAATATAAAATTTGTGTTGTGGCTCAAAAAAGTTGAGAAACAAGTAGCCGGTGTGATGTTTAAAAACAGCTAACATGCTAACTGTTAGCTCACCAATACCAGGGGTTTCAACAGTGTTGATTTCTTTTAACCAGTGAACTGTCAATAACTTCTTTGATGGAAAAGTTCTGACCCATCAAACATGCACCAGTATGTGCAGACCTGTTCTATAAATGTGTACTTAGCGCCACCTGATGGGCTGCTCAAAGCCCACCGCAGACAAACACTGAATGACATCATAATTAAACAAAAGTTCACCTTTAACTAACGCCCTAATTACTTTGACCTCTGCCAAAGATCTTTGGGGAAGTATGCCCTCAGTCATCTCCTGAGGAGGAGGCGCCGTTTCCCAGCAGCAGCCGTTCTTCAGCGGCAGAAGTAACAGGATTGTGAAAGCATTGCCAGGAAGTGAGGAATGTCCTGCTGTGATGACGCAACACTGATCTGAGGTCTGTATAAATAAGAGGCCAGGTTCATTCAACCCACAGAGAAGCAGAGGTTCAGTCGGAGAAAGGTGGAAAAGCCAGAACCCTGAAGGTCGCCAGCCGCATCTGAACCTGATCTGAGAACCATCGCAGCTCTGACGACATCTGAGTGAAACTGATGACGGAGAAGATCTGTGAGCTTCACAGGATTTCACATTAGCCTACAAACAAAAGTCCCAGAAAGATGAAGGTGTTCAGCATTGCAGCTGCAGTGACACTCGTGCTCGCCTTCGTTAGCCTTCTGGAGAGCTCCGCCCTCCCTCTGGACCAGGTACGTTCATCAGCACCATCTGAGGTTCTACACTGCTAGAGAGTCCAGTTTGGAATATTAATGTCATAATATTAATTCATGTCATTTGTCTGAGTTCTAGTTGTTGAATCAGACATGTGTGATTAGACTAGTTATCTTTGTTGAATTCCATCACTTCATGAACAGTCAGTTCTGTCAGTTATTGTCAGTTAATTTCCTTGAACAACAACGTAAAACATTTGTTACTAGAAGTCTGTTTGTTTTGTTTTTTTAATTGTACATCTTGTATCTAACAGGTGCAGGAGACAGAGGGGGTGGGGATGGTGAGAGGGGCGGGAATGAGTGACACTCCAGCTGCAGCCAATGAGGAGACATCTGTGGATCAATGGATTGTAAGTTTTTATCCATTAAACAATTATAATAAATAAAGTTTTTTTTTTATTTATTACCAATTAATAGTTGGTAAAGAAGCTAATGTTTAGCCACACAACAACAACAACAACAACAACAACAACAACAACATCCACCAGTAACACACTTTGTTGTCGATGTTTTGATCTTCTCACAGACAGAAGTTCAGCTGAATAATAAATAAAAATGTTTGTTTTGTTTTCTTTCAGACACCGTACCACACGCGTGTGAAGCGCGGCGGCCTGGTCGCCCTGTGTCGTTATTGCTGCAACTGCTGCCGATCAAACTCTGGCTGTGGTTTTTGTTGTAAATACTGAGCGGCGACGACCTCACTTTAATTTATTCTACTGAAATAATCTTCCATTTCCTTCTGGGTGAACACAAACAAAAAAGTTGTCCACTTTTTATTTCCTACATTAAATAAAGGAAAAAAATAAATAAATTTGAGACTCTGTGTTTTTTGTAATAAATACAATAAAGGGAGAGTTCAGCATTTTTCCACTTTTCTTCAAGTGTCAACTTACTTTATTTTTTTTATTTATGTTTGATTAAATCAAGCTGCACAAACCTGAGTGTTTTGTAATGCAGCGATCTAAATGCTAATGTTGTCTCTCTCTGTGTCTCACACACACACACACACACAGCCCAGTTAATCAGAATAGATGAAGGTGAAACAAACACACACTCTCTGCTGTGAAGAACCTGCAGTCATCAGTTTTAATTAACAGAGAGTAGGGGAAAGGAGCAACCACCTCCTGCTCCACCTCCTCCGTCTCATTCTACTCCTCTTCCTTCCTCCCCCCTCACTGTCACCACTGCATCTATGTCACATACAGATGATGATAATTGACTGAATGAAACAATAACAATTACAGTCTTGTTAAGTTCAAATAAAAATGGATCGTGAGTGTATTAACGAATCGCTTCATCACAGCTTCAGGAGGATTGAGGTGCCACTGACACACAACCTGAACCCATGTTGACCAACAGACCAATGTCCAGAGTAGAAATCATGGGAATTGAGCTCAAAGGACACACAGGAACCCCTGGTCCAACACTGCCTCCTGTGGCCAATTTCTGTCAGTGAAGTCAAGGGATTTAATTTTAAAAAAAAGTGAGGTCACAAACTAACACTTTTAACCCTGAATATACCAACACCTGTTGTTGAAAAGATCTTGTCCATATAAACTACAGCTACATAGAGTATTGGTAATTGATTAGAGGCCTTAAAAACAACACATGGGTTAGTTAAGTTAGTTACTCGCTTACTTCACTAACAGCTTCTAACAGCCACTGTCCCCTGTTAAAAACGTTGAAGAAAATTAACAGCCACTGTCCCCTGTTAAAAACGTACAACTGAAGGATCTGAAGCTCTGTCCACCAGGGGGAATGTGCTAAATGTGTGTATAACTGCCAAGCCAACAAAGTGTGTACATCCCTGCTCTAGAGTAATGACTCCTCCTACTGGACAAAATGAGAAAAACATCACTCAGGTACGGAATAAAGTAAAAAGTTATTTTAAGGTCCGTACTGAAAAAATAACACACCAATACAGCGAAATAA